ACTGGTACATGTTTCGACTACATTTCGCGGTAACGCTTTATCCGTGTTCGTGCCTTTTTCTTTATGTTGGAGTATCGTGGGTTGGTGACGCATTTTGCCCTCGCGTTACATTCAGGCGGCTGTTGCCGAGGTGGCGTATATGGCCTTGCTTTCGTCTGTCACTGTGGATAAAACACTTATTATTATAGACTGGTGCTAAGTTTCTGAAACACACTTACCCCAAAGTGTAGTTGTTGAGATCCTGTAGTTTTAGACCGTGTTTCAATCATGACATGATGGTTTTCGATACTATATGCATGTGTCCCTGGTCTGTGGTTCATTCGAGCTTCATCGCCACCAGCCAAGTGAATCTCGAATTTAATTTGGGAGGCTCGTGTATGTTTTGCACGAAATATATGTTCCGATGGTAGATCAACCTAGGGTGTTAGTAGGTTAATTTACAGCGATGAGATGGACCGTCATCTGCTAGAATAGAAGTTAAATAGCATGAAACATCCTAAGAACATTCGTGTTGAAACGCCCGCTTTTTGTGTGAAAACGTCGGCCATATTGTACGTGCTCCAGTGAGGTTCCGACATGTCGTCACCAGACACATTTTTTTTCTTTTTTACCGCCGACCAATCAGCGGCGCTCGTTAGATGACGTGTTCGATTTCCGTGATATGATAAACGGCTGTTGCCACTCCGGACACGCCGTAGGGTGTGTTCAATTAGTTTTCCCGTGGAAGAATGTTTTGCCAATCCGACTTTGAGTACTGAACCGAGCTTCTTCCTAAAGGTTGGCGCTGACATTTATCAAACGCTAACGTCAGATTTAACTGGGATACTTATACATTGAGGTTACTTGCGTTAAAGGACTTGATTTTCTGATATTTATAATGTACAAAGGCCTATTGGTTGTTTCAAAAGCGTCTGATGCCACTTTGTGTTTTTTTTTGCAGTCTGTTTTCGTATCGTTGGTATTTTCGACATCCAGTTCATGCGTCGGCTATTTGGTAATGTGCGGTCCTAAAATAAATTGATACCATACAACTTATCCTATTATCTATATGTGACGTTTTTGCCTTGCTTAAGCTTTGCTTTTCACAGCGAGTGTCGCGCGTCGGTCTGTTTGTGAAAGAAACAAGAGTCGTGACGTATGAGAGTATCAACGCGCCTGTTGTCGACAATCGCCAACCTTTGTGTCAGCCTGTACCAGTCGCTGGTTGAAATACACTTGGGCGTCGCACCCAATACTTCATTTGCTATCGGTATGTGTATGCATAATTTTATTTATGGTTCTTGTCCTTTAATCGCAATTACTGATTAGTACAAATAATGAAACGTGTTTTGTTTTCTGACAATGCGACGCGCTCTCGCTTCTGTCAGAGGTTATACACTTCAGCGTTCAGATGGAAGTAAAACTGGTCATAGCGGTTCGGCGTTTCTTGTTTTTGTTACCTTGTTTTGTTTCCCATACAAGCACTGACGCGTTTCTGCGACAATCCCATCAGACGTTCCAGCCTTTTGTAAACAGATCGGTTGGTGATATTCGTTGAAGTATGCGACTGTCAACATTTCGTAACGGGGTCTTGTCGCTGGCGCTCACTCGCAGCGATATTCTCCGAAGCTTTTGAACGTGAAGGAACTTTGCGCTCGCATGTTTTCTTATAGGGCTCTCCATCGCCAACTTGCGGCATGGTATGTACTGCAAAACAAGTTTTTTTTAGAAAGCCCGATACGATGCGTTTGTGATACGACCGTTAACAAAGAAAAAATGACACCCGGCAAAACGTGATTGACGGTCCACGGATTAGAGGGTTATCCTATTTTCCCCATGGTCTTCTGTTAAAACAAAGGTTCCAGTAAGTGATGGGTTACCGAGTCATCAAAATCTTATATTGCCAGGGAGTTCGCCTAACAGTTAATCACATCAAAATTGTTTTAATTTTTCATCAACGTCAAATATAACTTGTCTGTGCCAGAAGAGAAAATGACACCAGCGCTGTGGTCTGAATTACTAAGGTATAAAATACTTTTTTGATTTTGTAAAATAATATATTTGTTCCATCACATCCACAGTGTAAACTTATTGTTCTGGCCCACAACGATATAATGTTTCGGTGCTTACTAAGCCAAGTTATTTATCGAGCAAAAACTTGGGAAGTATTGGCCATAACTTGAAACATCACCATGTTTTGTTTTAAATTGCGATAAGAATATTTACAAATGCCTATAATGCATATACAGGGTGTTAAAAAAGTAACGCAAAATTAACAGAAGTTAAAAAGGAAATGCTACGTAAATTTAACGACTGACACCTTTTAATAGTATCGAATTACAGTGAAATGCCATTTAAACCACGACTTTTTCAGTTAATTTTTTAACATTGCCATGACAAAAAATTTCACCCTAATTTTGCGTAACTTTTTTAACACCTCGTATATATCATGCTTGCGGTACTATGCGCTCATTCTATTGAGTCATCATTTTGAAAAGTATTCCAGAGCGTAAAATCGCAGGTAGTATTAAGTCGTTCCATATAATTTGTGCTATTTACTACGGTTCTGCACTTATGCATATTGCATATAAGGGACGTCATTTGGTGGAATTCGTCTGAAATAGTGAACTTTCAAGACGTGATCGGGGAGTAATATGCAAAATCGCGATTTAGAAAGTTTTTTCATTACATCGCTATCGTACATGTTGATCGGTCCTGCCCCTCCCAATCGACACATCTATGCTTGTTCATTTAATGCTGAAGAAAAACCCTTCGCACACAGAGTTTCGACCTATCTGGCCTTGATGTATTGTGCATTTATAGATAAATATTCCGTTATGAAAATTAAATCAAATACATACATGTCTGTGCAAAGAGGTAATACGCATAAAATATTGCGTAGGAAATTATAAATTCAAATTTATCGGGTTAACGAACTAGCACCTATTTTAAAATAATTCGACATAAGGCTTATGTCTGAACTCCCCCATTTGAAATGAATAAATAAAATTTCCGCGTCATACACAGCAATTTTTCGTGGCTTGAAACGCTGGCTGATACGGTTTAACTTGGCTCTTTGAAAATTCTGATTTACGCCCCTGGTATATGCATTTGATGATTTGGCACTTCGTGACACAGAAGTGTCATGTTTGTTCATTGTCAGCACCGTTATTTTTCTCGCACCAAGCGATTGATTTTATTGTCAATACGTGCTAATATTCTTGAGCGTTTATTTACAACGCGCGAAACCACCGCGCGGGCCGCATAGTTTGCATGACGCTCCAAATCCGGCTTGTCTGAAAATACAAAATTGATATTTCTCTGCAGTTGCCCCTGTACTTGTTTTCAGAAAACACTTATTTAAGCAAACCAATATGTGAGCGTAGACTTAAATTCGCAGAATTACAGTAAAAGTAAACAGCAAGTAAAAGTCTACATAGTACTAAAATATAATTAAAAATTGAAGCGCATAATAAAAGTAAACCGAAAAGCAAGATCACACAATACTGTGCACGGAGGAATTTATGTTTCTATTCGAATTGTGTGGAATTAATAAGTCGAAAACGGGGTTTTAACCTCCATAAATATTTACCGACACAGTCTTCGCGTTCATAATGGGATGGATGTGCGCCGGTACGTGATCGAAGTGTAAAATTAGTTGACATACATTAGTCTGTGAAAGCGTGGCCTCGTCCGACGATACGCTACAAAAATTTCGTTACACTGAACTTAGATTTAGCGTAAGTCTTTAACACAGTAAATGGGTGGGATAGCATAATTCATTGAACATTATGTTGTTTTTTTAGAATACTGACGCTTACAGATCGAACAAAGCTTCTTGCAACAATTAATATATAAATTAATTAATTACAAAATAAAGTCAAAGAACCTAATAATTAGTTGTTTTTTTTTACAATGTGGTTCCTCGCCCTATCGATTATTATTACGGCATAACATCGCGCTTTTTACGCTCAATTTGGCGTAACGCAGGATATGCAGATATGACATCATGTGTAAACCAGACTTAATAAAGGTGGTTATGTAGAATATAATTATGAACGGTGCGCGTCTTAATCACACACTAATAATAATAAATGTAAGTATGTTATACTTTGCTGATACATCAGTTCTCACAACCGACCAGGTTGTAAATACTTCCAAGTTAGGTAACGGATTCATTGTTTCGATTTCCAAACTGACATATGCTAAATCATCAACCTTTTAAGTTGTTAAATTATTAATAAGTTACCAAGTTAAGTAAAATTGTGTTTTTGTCAGGGGACAAGAATTCTTATGAATATGTCACATTGATGAAATTTTTTTAATTGTAGGACCCTTCCTCCTTTGTACAGTATAAATATTAGATTTATATAATTATCAGGCATACGACAACCCAGGTTATAGAAGCATAGTGATAGATCCGTATATAGTACATGTGCATTGCAATGTCATTCACATCTTTGAGATTAAGATCTCTCAGTGGAATATGTACAGATCTGGTTATGTCGGTCTCCCAAAGTAATCATTGGTCAAGTGTGCTGTGTCAGTTGAATGGGACGAGACTTGCTTATCTAAAAAGAAGTATTTGGTTATTTATAAGGAAACTACTAAGCCATTACATAACTCGGTTTGACAACACAAATTAAGCCATACTTAGTGCTTTAGTGAAATCCTCATTGTGTTATGGTAATACAATTCACATATGATGCTGAGCCTATCATTTTTTACAAGCATAATTCATGACACACATAACATATTAATAATTGTATTACATGTTTGGAAGTGGTTCTAAATATTTTACATTAATTTACCAAACCATCTATGATTCAAATAAAAAGGAAGAGAATTCCTCTGTTCCATTGTCTATTTGATTCAAAAATTTCTATGTATCACTAGGAGCGCCCTCGCATTCAAAATTATTGTATGAAACCGTTCTGCTGAGACCTCTCTCTTATTATCCTGGATGTTTGAATATTTGGTTAGGATCTTTTGTTTCATTCTAGATATTTTCAAACCTATCACTTAGAATGTTATCGAGTTGCAATGCCATATATTGAAATTATATTTGGATGCGTTGTTCATCTCTGGATTCCTGTTTGAGAATAGTGGTGCCTCACCCCTTATGTTGTTGTAGCTCCAGTAAAGCAAACTTTCAGCATTACCTGTGGTGTATATACAGAAAAATGGATACGTCTCCAGCAAAATGCTTCAAACTGTTCACATACGTCAGTCATGACTTATCCTCGTCACACTATGAAATCATCTGATCACTAAGTCAAAAATTTGTATTATTTGAAACTGAAATATGACATAAACAGCCATCAATTAATGAACAATTTTAAGTACCGGTAATTATATTGATTTGATTGAATGATCAATTTTTACAAGAATGCAAACTTAAGATCTACCTAAAGTGTGTAGATAATGGTCCTCTCTACAAACATTCTAGAGTTTTTCAAGCATAATATGAAATTAAATAGCAATTTTTTCAAATTTTTAACTTTCAGACTTGAGAAGTCATTTGTCACATCAGATTTTCAAAACTTAATGATTTACTAAAGCTTGTAGTCTTATGCTTTCATTGTGACACAACATTAGTCAGAAAAAATAAGCTTACACCATTGTGATGTCATAAAGCCAGCTAACATCTTTTATTGAATTAATCAACTTTCAGGATGTAGATCCAATTTTCTTGTGCAAATTTGATGCATGCATGTTTGTGTTAGGATTTGAGAAGTCTGAAAATCTTTTTCATCTAATGTAAGTGTCCATCCACATTGTATTCTTAAGGGTGCAGTGTCCCTCTGTAAAGTAGTTGTTCATATGGTTGTAACCCGGATCTCAAAATTGTATTTTAGAGCTTCCTATTGAGGATGCTTTTTCATAATAATACGGGATAAACTTTTATTTGTTATCACTAAACTTGATGGTCAGATATCAATGCAAGATAAATTCTTATGGTAAAGATCTGAAAACAAGATAAGATGCTCACTGAAAATGGGATGCTAATTCGAACAAGTTCTATAGGCTAGCTACCATGTTTTTTTTTAGCATGTATTTTAATTTATGTCACAATTGCCTTGAATATATCGAATGTAAGCAATTTGACTTGCCTCTAGATCAGGGGTGTCCTAAAACTTATCTCTGATATAAAGATTTAATATATTAGCAAAAAAAAATTCTTAATGAAAATGTAGTACAGGATCAATATTAATCTCATTATGCAACAGAATTACTGATGTTCGAATATTTGAAATCTTACTGTCATCTTTAATTATGGCTGGACATAAACCCTTATGGGTGTTACAGCCAAGCTATGAAAATAAAGACAAGTTTCATATCAGCCATTCAAAAAAAAACTTCCATATCTGGATTCTGAGACCAAATTAATTTATTTATTATTGTGTTTTTGAATAGCTGGAATATCACACATGCTTGACCGAAGGTGCATTGCAGCTGAATTATGAAAATAAAAATAAGTTTCATCTCAGCCATTCGAAAAAAGCAATCTCATGTTGGCATAAATTTGGTCTCAGACTTATATTTTAACTTCATGAATTTTAACACTACTCGACTTCGAATGTTTAACTAGACTCGTACTAGATTCTTCACCAAGTCTTTCATTTTGATTTTATAGAACATACAACATAGTCTATTTGCCATGCAACATTAGTCCTATTTTTTACATGAATTAAGGATTGTCATGCTTAGTATAGCAAACATACCAGTCACAATGAGTAATACCCAAACTGATGATCAGCTTCCTCCTAATGAGGAGATTCTCGAGGATGGAGAGATTGATGACGAGGATGAAATTGTGACAGAGGAAACAGTAGTAGAAGATGAAGATAGCTCAACAGTAGTGGCGGACAAAAACTCTGTAGATTCTTCATTATATCCAAATCATGATAATCAAGCCCTAATGATGGGGGATAGTGCATCCCATGAACAGAATGAAAATGATGACGATGATTCTGAGGAGGGCCATAAAAGTCGCTCTCATAAAAAGCACCAACGTAAAAGAAAGAAACATCGCGATTCTAGAGAAAAAGAATTGAAGGCATTAGAAAAGAAGGAAAGACGTAGAAAACGAAAGGTAAATGTCGTGCTTGTTTCTAGAGATGGAGATTTGAAGAAGTTTATCTGGAATGCAACCAAATTCTGTGACATTCATTATATTAGAATGCAAGATTGTAGCCGAGCCCGCCCCAAATTTTTGGGGAGGGGGAGCAAATCTTTTTTGTATAATGATATAATGACGCTTACTTGTACCTTTTGCTTCGAACAAGGCTTGATAAAAGCAGCCACTGATATTTAAGATTCTCATCTATCTCTGTTGGTTCATTTAGTTAGAGAAAGGATTATTGATAGTAAGCCAGAAAACGTTGAGTTCTTGGAAACCGTTCAAGAATATACCAAAATGGTGTTTAAAAGACATGAATAATTTCTCACTGCTAATATCCCATATTTGCATTTAAAAAATTTTTTTTGGGGTGGGGGGATGGCCTGGAATCATAAATATATGACAATTCGCTGCAATTTTTTCATAACCGGTAATTTTGTATTTATATGTTCAATAAACATACTTTAGCTCAATTTTCATTGCTCTTGAATAATTTTACTTCTTTTTGTAGATGCATTCACATGATGACAGAGCAGAATCAAAAGAACGAGGAGGTTCCACGAGTCCACATAGTAGAAAGAAGCGAAAACGTAAGAAGCATTCTCGAGATCAGAGGGATAGAGACAGCACAACACCTGAAAATAATATATCTGAGGAGGAATATCCTCAACAACAAACTACATATACAAACAGTTATGATGATGTGTATTCTGCAGATCCAAAGGCATATCCTCCATCCATTTCTCATTTATACACCAAGACACAAAGCAGTGATAAAGGGGATAATAACGCATATTATTCTTCAACAAATAACCAAACTACAGACTATCAAAACGATGCAAAGTATGAATCGTATTCCGAATCTGGTAGTGATTTTGAAGCCCAATTAGCGGAATATCAAAACTATAAAACCAATGGTAGTACAGGAGATGGTTACTACAATGGTACATATGAATCTGATGGAAAATATAGCAAACAACAGAAAAGACGAACTGATGGAAGTGAACGTTCATCAAAAAAGTCCAACAGATCATCAAATGCAGAGGTTTTTACATAATATTTTACAAGTAGTTTTATAATTTATACATCGATTATTAACTGATTTCACTGAAAGAGTAACTGCTTGCTAATAAGCCGTTTTTTTCTTTGCTTTTGCAGTCAAGACCACACCAAACCGAAATGTATGAAGAGTTCATGGATTATGATGAAAATCCGTCCAGACCATGTAAATTCTTTGCTGAAGGAAATTGTTTGAAGGTAGGCTTTGGTCAATTTATTATTTAAGTTTGTTCATAGTATATTAGGTTAGGCGTGAAAAGTCAGGTGATCCCAAATATTCAATATTTCTCGCTCTCATCTACTTAAGTATCCAATTCCTTCTGTCACAATGCCACAAAGAGCATGTGAATCTTTTCATCAACTTTTATTGGAATTTGATTAATTCCTTATACCTATTTTATGTCTCACAGGGTGACGAATGTGCATTCAGTCATGATGGTGTCCCAAATCGTGCTCGTCGATCAAGATTGAAGAGATTGGAATTATGCAAATATTACCTTGCTGGGCATTGTCATCATGGAGACAGATGTACATACATGCATCATATCCTTTTCAATGATTTAGATTTTATATTCATATATTTTCAATTTAAATAAATATTTTTGTTATCTCTATATTTGAAAATAAAAGTAGTTGTAGCCATCTACTAACTCTGTTGTAGCCATCTACTTCTGACACAATTAATTTATATTCAATGTCTGAACTGCATGACTGTATTTGGTTGTTTAGATATATATTCAATTTATCTGGCTGTAGCAGAATGACTTACAACCTAGTGATAAGGGGGAAAAAACTGAAATGAGAAGTTTTTATAGTGTAAATATTATTACATATTTATTTTGATGTATTTAAAGGATGTATATATTCTTGAGTTTGATTTGATTGTAATGCTTGTTTCCTTAATTTAATTATTTCAACCAACACAAGAATACCCTTGCAAGTATTTTCATACTGGTGCTACATGTTACGCTGCTGACAAATGCCGATTTTCTCATGAGCCTGCAAACGAAGATACAAAAGAAATAATAGAAAATGTAAGACTTGCTTTCGTTTCTAATTCATTACAACAAGTATTGCTAAACACTCCAAATATTGCATTTTAAATGACTCTTGTTTGTAAAATGGTGTATGCAAAGTTCAAATTGGAAATTACACTACCTGATACAACGTTGTTTCTCGTTTGTCAATTGATGCAAGCTTCATGCAGAAATGCAAAACAAGTATTTATATATATATATACAAATAAAATATTTATATATGACAAAATTTGTATAATTATATATGTATGATATGTAACAAATATTAATTAGGGTTATACTGTATTGTTCATACCACTCTAATTTCTGTGATTTTTATATTTTACAGCTGAAAGATGTTCTTGGTGGTGTAGATGATTCGTGGGAAATCAGTGAACTTGCTAAAGTAGGATTGAAAGCTTTTGACAAGCCTCCTCCAGGAGTGGGTCTGCTTCCAACCCCAGATATGCCACCTTCCGTTTCTGCAAACGCAAACAACACTCCAAATGCCATCCCATCAATATTTGACATTTCCGTTGAACCAACAGCAAATCTTCAAAAAAGAATTGATGAAAAGTAATTTATATTTTCAAATTCTTTCTTTCACACAGTCAGGAATTAAGATTATACACAGTTGTATGAGGTTAGTGGGGTGATCTATTAGTCCTTCCCTATTGCCTGGTCAGATATTGCTGAATTTAGTAAAAGTGTTTTTGCAACTTTCCCATAATATGGCTAAAAGTGTCTGAGGTGTTGTATTTATCTGGATCAAATTTATTATGCATCACGAATGCATTCAGATTTAGTCACTAAGTTAGGTAGCAACTGTTTCAACTTGAAGGTAGTTTAGTATAAGATTTATTTTTGAAGGTAGATTTGAGAACAAAGGTATGATTATGATAAAGTGACAAGATATGTTTTATAATATTCTGTTCAGAATTGAAACAAGAATTCAAGATTTTGACACAGCATGTATTTTGCTGCAGTTGAGGTAGGTAACACAACTCTACATGATTGTTCACGGGTCTTGTTGTATTTGTTCATGCAGCGTTTTTTAGCTAGTTTAGTCTAATTGTCATTTGAAGTCAAATATTCATGAAGAAAAAAGTTATCAATTTGAGAAAGCAATGAGAAATCAGGAAGATAATGGTCGTTTCAGATCCAGAGAGACAAGAGAATAAAGCGTCTTTTAATAAAAATTAGCTCCCATCCCCGGATTTATTTTATATTTATCATTCATTGAATTGAGGTTAGACAAGCGGGTGCATGCCAGTTACCAATGTGGAATCTTTCTAACTGTTTTTATTTCTTTGTTTAGTTCTGTAACGTCATTAGCAATGTGTGATGTATCTGGTCCGAAGAATGGAACAATTCCACCACAACCTATTCCCTTCTATCCACCCTATCAGTATCAAGAAGAACAGCAAAATATGCCGATGCAAAGTGGACCACCTTATCCGCTTCCAGGACTGATGGAGCATATGCAAAACCCTTATGTTCAACAGCAAGATCAACAGAATAACAATGATTTTCACAACAATCAAAATGAATATCAACAGCACGTGGACACCAGTAATACTGGTAAGTCCGTAGAGACAATATCTTAACAAATAATTCCCGTTCTTCAAAATGCTCTTTATCGATAATGGTTATTTGTTGTGCAGAAAATTGCATAGAACCAGTGACTCATGATTTGGTGCAAAACATTTAGAACATCTCACTTTCAAAAAAAATTTTTTTTTATATTTCTCAATTTGAAGAATTATAATAGCAAACTATATAAAATTACAGATTACAATGAAGAGAAACAAGAAAATGAATTTTATCAAACGAATGATGAATTTACCAGAACGGATATGCCGAATAATAACTTGTCAAATACAGAGTCTGAAGGTGTGTGATCTTTGAGATTCTGGTTTGCCCATCTTTTGGAAAATTTAATGCTGACAAAAATTATATTAAAGAATTTACTTATAATCATACTACTGAATTTGAGGTTCATAAAAAGCAATATTTCAATCCACCTGCTGTTTGCAAAAAAGCCGATGCAAAGATGTTTTATAAGGTTATTATATCCTGATAGTACATGATGTAAACGTGTTGGGTATAATTATGTGCAAGAAGATTGCTCCTCTATTTCCTCTCCCCTGTTATAAATATGGAAATTCTATCCTATCCCAAATTTTGATTCTACATTCTAGTAGTGTGATAGCATTGGCTTTATTTTATATACACTATTTTATTATGTACCTCTAAAACTGATATTTCCAATATATTATATTTATTTTCTCACTTTTCTATGAATTAGATGCAGAAATCAAAGCACCAGATTTTCTACCTGCAACGCAAAAAGCTTTATTCATGAGAATCCATCATGGCAAAATGCAAGCTGATTCCGATAAAAGACCAGATGAGGAAAATTCAAAAAGTATGTAATATAGAATGCATGAGTGGGTTATATAAATAAGCCCCAACTGGAGAATCCAAAATACAATAATATCAGTCTTCATTAAACAGGGTCTTAAATACGAAGAAATAAGAATGCACTGAAATTCACAATACTATTTAGAAATGATAAAATATTGTATTATTTTTGTCCAGGAGTTGTTATGGAAGCAGCTTTCTTATACTTAGGTATATTTTCATCTTTAGATAAAGAATCTGATGGCTGGACATACTCAAGTGATGAGGATGAAGATAAGACTTCTTTACCTGATTCTGGCATTATAAAAATTGACAGTGGACCATCTCAAGCATCCACCAACTCAGAGCAAACATCATCTGTTGATTCTATCTTGAAAATGATTGCGAGCAAACAAGGAGGCAATACTAGCCATGTTGACACTAATTTACTTTCTAAAGTTGCAAAAGTGATTAACATTACAACTACGAGTTCAGGTAATTTATGTTTACCTAATTGGCTACGTGAACTTTAATACTTGAAGAAATGTCTAAAATGTAATTGCATGAAAAGGGAATTGAAATTTGGAAGGAAAGCTAATTTTGAATAGGATTATGGTATAAGCGAAATGTCAAATTAAGTCAGTGGTCTTGATATGTAATAATTTTTCTGAAAAGCTCTTTTGGAATACAATTTATTGATCATAAGCATTCTCTGTCACAAAGCCTAAGACATAAGTTTCCTAAATTTAATTGAGTGTCTTTTATCAATTTCAGCTTCTTCTGCTGAAGTTTATGATCCTGCTTCAAGTATTGCCACCTACAATCCTGCCAAAGCGAAAGCATCACCACAACGCACAAGTACTTCACAGTCAAGAGAAAGAAAATCTAGTGAGTCTTCAAGCATGAGTCCTGGTCATGCAACTAAACCAAAATCTCGTACTACACGGCGTCGTTTGTCAACACTAGAACTCACAAAAGAACCTGTCATTATTCCATTGGTTACAAAACAAACTGGAGATCAGTCTGTTCACTCTGCACATCCAGATCCAAGAATGACATTGAGTAAACTCATTGGAGTCAAATTATCCATATATTCGGCACATTTACCCCGTTTTAGCAAGGATTTGATTCTGCCAGGTTCAGGGAAAATGATCGGACTTAAAGTTACACTGTCAACAGATGAAGCAAAACCATCAAAACGTGATCCCCGTTTAGGACGACACAAAGATCCACGACTACGCCGGTCCGGCGATTCCAAATCCAAAAATCATCACAGTTCATTAAAAACTTCAATGACCAGCCCACCAAGATTAGAGATTAAATCTTCTATTCCTTCAAAACCTTCAGCTCTTCTTACAAAATCATCAACTGTCATTCCAAGCCTTCCTGAGCTTGATTTAAATTTAGCTCCGATGAATAACCAAACAAAGCAGGTTGATAATGTATCGCATAACATTACAAATTCTCCTGCCAAAGACTCTCCCTCTATGCCTAATCTTAGATTACCAAGATTGATGAAAGCACCCATTTCAGCCTCCTCACCTAAGCAGGGTGCATCACCTGCAAGAGAAAACATAACGGCAGCACCAGCTATAGCACCTTACGATCCTCGATATATGTCATCTGGCAGTGCAACAACAACAGGTTAGTTGAGAAATGTTGAAATGTTCATTGATTTAATTTTATGTAATGGCTTACCCATAGTTTAATTATGATCATATGTGTGTATGTTAAGGATAAAAGTGATGATTGCAAGAAAAAAATAATGCTGTATATATAATTCATATAAATAATAGCTTTATTAAATCTAGATAGCCCAGCAATACTTTTGTACATTACAAACCCTCCAATCTAGAGTACTCTTTCATGCCTAGCGTGTTCCTTAAATTTCCTGCCATTCTTTTATGTAAAAGTGGGGAGTGTTTCTAATTTTTTTATGGCTACTTTTTTTTATTTGTGGGATTTAATGGTAATGCTGATTGATTTTATGTGTTTCAGGTACAGAAAGATCAATGAATTCTGCACCATATGACCCAAGAAATATCTCTGGCCAATCTTCTTTACCTGCTGGAATGGAATTGAAGAAAAGAACAATACAGTTGCCAAAACTTACTCCAGCGCCATCGTACCAAGCCACTGAAATGAACAATAAAAATATGGCAGATACGCAAGAAGATTTTGAAGACTAAAAATGACGTATTTGTGAGCAGTTTCTAAGCTGCATTAATATTCATCACTGCGGTTTCATATATTTTATACAAAACTATTGATTGTACTGGAGTTTTTTCTCCATATTTTTTGTTGATTACTTTTTCAATAAAAGACAATAAAACGTGCTAAATATGGTACTTGCCTATGATTTATCGTATGTTGCCAGTGACAAAGGGACGTCTGCCCCGTTAATTACGAGTTTATTAGAAGCTCTCTATGCTAGGTGTAGTTTGGTTTCCAGTCGAGGATCTCTGCGGTGAGTAAGTTGTAATTTATTTGATGAAGTGGAGCAATATTTTGTATGCCATTTATCATCCAACTGTTCGAGAACAAGTAGTTTGATTGATTGACCTATAAACCTTTAAAATCCATTTTTGATGGACAATCCGATGTTGACCGTCAAAACATATTTATAAACTTACTATCATAAACGCTTTTCAACTCCGGCTTTTAGAGAGTGTTCACACGTTCGTTCAGTATGATTGATTAGTCCGGGAATTGAGTGCTCCAGATGAAAGGATTTGCGAGACGGAGGAAGCATTTAACGGCAAATGGTACGTGATCAGCGCTGTGGCGACTACAGTAAGCCTATTGCACACAATGATATCGCGTAGATAATAATTAGTAGATGATTGCTGGTCTCGTCGTAGGTCGCAAGGTATTTAATTAATGAACGACTCTCTTATAGTAAGCAATTTATACCAAAACAAACTGACCGCGTTTAATAACATTATGTTTTCAAGTTAGATGTTAAATTGTTATGAAGCTAACAAACGCGAGATTGCTTCTCAATCCCCGAGGAGTATTACCTTCCGTTGATTTCAGTCACATAACGGTGGCCCAACCATATCATTGGGCCGCTGAGCACAAAAAACATGAAAACTTGCTGTAAATAAACTAAAGAATTCAGTTTCTATTTTTGTTTTCCAAGTCCGAACTCAGTTATCTGTGCGTGATATTTGGTTACCTAATTCTGGCGTAAACTTCAAAACATACTTCTGCTATCCGATTAGTGTTATAAAAAAGTACGTGAACCAAGATGGCGGACACCAGAACGTAGTATGTGTATCAGGTTAGGCCAGGATTTTATTCCAATTTTCCTTATTTTAGTTCTATTTCGAGTGAACTAGCCGGGTGACTCCCGTAGTATTTGTACCTGAAATTATGGACTAACCTGGTGCACATACTACGTTCCGTTGTCCACCATCTTGGTTCACATACTTCGGGAGTACCTAAAAACTGCCTTCCACGACAGATTGAGAGCTAAAATTTGCTCATTTAGCACTTTGCAGTATGTTGCATGAAGAATAAGAAATTTCAAATAATTAAGGTAAATGTATATCCTAGCTAGGATCTGGATCAAAGGCTTCACTAGGTAGCTTTCAAGATAACTGTAAATTGACTGCTGATTTGTTTCATCTTCTACTCTACTCTTCTATTTGATCTTTTTCTTTCGATCGTTCGCTTTTCATGACTGAATGTGGTGATCAAAATACTGATGGAAGATCTTTTCAGCAAAACTAGGGTCTATTTCATTGAAGATCGGGGCCACAAGCATTGCGAGCCCAAAGACAGGGGCCACAGATTAAGTGAAAACCATTTTTTTGTCGTATACAAACATTCGTTGGTATAGACATCCTGACTACAACATAACAAGATGAATTTCCCATATTAACTTTTAATTTAATGAGAATACTCAATAGAAATGATTGCGAAAAAGCTGTTGTGAAACCAGAATATTCCATATTGTTAACTGTACGATTTTGAAAGTAAAATCATGGCACTATCAAATCTTAATTATATATGAAGTAGTGGGGACTTGGGGTAGAAGAGATGAATAATAGGATTTTTGCAACCAAATGCAATAAAATATACAACGGAATAAAATCAAATTTGCCATGCAAGAGATAAACAATATTGACAGTTAGTAAAATAGTTGAAAAAAAATTTCAATCTATTTACTTTATTTAAAATTATATCAGCAAAAATAATAACAAAATGATAACAGATAAATTGAAAAGATTTTCGATTTGGGAAAAATGCAAATACAATATTATTAAATTTACAAGGAGGCTGTTCGAAAAATAGTCCTCAATATGATTATACTAATTAAAAACAATAGACTAAATCAAGCTCCAATTTTTGAATGAGGTGATTGGAATAAGGCTTTGTGGTGGGTTGCCTTTACTAAGAAACGGGTAAACATAGAAAAACTGAAAATGCCATATCATCCCCAATTACTACATAAACTGGGTAAGATAGAGTGCTCGGGTTTGACAAAGATCTGACATATTGAAGCTCAAATCTGAGATAAAAATTTTCTTTGCAATATTTGAAAACCATCAAAAGTAGTTACTACCCATGAAATCAGCCATTTCTATTTTACACTCTGATTTATTCAACGTTTAGAAGTTTAATAACAACTGATTATGAGTTTATTTGGTATTTTTTGCATGCAGAATCAATTTAGAATATCTGCTGTGAATGACGAAAAATACCAAGCATATGAAAACGGGCATTTCTAGTCAAAATTTTCACACAGTCAAACTTGAAAAAAGGCATTAAAAATTATTACACGAGATCGCCAAGAAGAATTGATTTTATTAAAGAGGAACAAGGTAGCTAGAAAAGTAACAAGACATGTTTTCAAAAAAGTAGAAATTCATCTATCAAGAATGATTTCATCAAATTTCCTCTAATGTATCAGAAAAATTTTCACCTGCTATTATCGGATTCAGATTGGGTTTCGCCTCTCACAACAATAATTGTACTATAATTTATGGTAAACATGATAAACAAATAAAGTGCAATGAAAAAAGTTTGCAAATAAATCAGTAAGTACAGAATATTTCATAGGTTACATCATTGATATTGTAAAGAAAAATGAAAGTATGTTCTGCCATTAAAATATGTTGAAATCACTGCTTATAAATTGGCAACATGTTATCTCTCCCAGTTTCATGCAGTTTTGGTCAAGATCACATTATGTTTTTTTATGTATTCATTTGTTCTTGAACTTGACACATGATTTATGAATAGAAATGCTGTCAAAATGGTATGGAACCATGTATAATGATGAGTAGAGAAACGTTTGCTTGTTTGCTGCATCAAAGATAGGAATGTCTATATGCTGGTCACAATGTAGTTTTCATAGTTTTTAGATTGCTGTAGATCAATGCATCAAATCATTTGGTTAGGAATGGTTTCACGACAGTTGTACAGAAATGTTTAAAGCTGTTGGAAAATTTCCTGAAAGAAACAAAAAGTGATATTAAACAGTCAACTATCTCAAAAAGAGCAAGTCAGATTTTTCATATTTTATGGGCGCTCCAGAAGTATGCGTAGTTGCGTACCAATATCGAGGTAACTAATGTCTACTTTGCATCAAGTTGTGTAAAGGGATGGAAGCCTCTGGGCAGGGGGTATATTCACTTGGCAGACAGTCCCCGAACTCGTAATAGAACAAAATAAGAAAAATCGAAATAGAATTATGGCCTAACCCTAACCTGGTACACACATTACCGAAGTACCATTTTACCTCTTTATCATCAAACAAATAAAGCACAAACATCCATAAAAAAAAAGAAAAATTGGCACAGAAAATATATCCGGAACAACAGATATTAAGACACTGGGTAATATGAAAAAATTGATACAAGACGATATAAATTAAAATTTTTGTAACATTAAGACTCATAGTCGCTAACTCACATCTCTATACAAGACAATTTAACTACTCAGGAGTATGGACATACTAATATCACATTCAGAAACCCCTAGTTACACCCTATGTCGAGTAATAAACATGAACTGATTATGTAAAATCACTAATTGAAATAATAAAATATACTGATCTCACTAGGATATATCTTTCTAAAGGTTAATGAAATACACACTGAACTGGTTTAAAAAAAATTCAACAAAAAAAAAATACTGTTGGCAGATAATAATTACCTGGTAAAATTTAGTTCTGTACTTTGAGAAGCAACAAAACATTATTGTCATGTAGTTTCATCATTGTCAGAAGGAGGTGTGTCTTTATCATTCTGTAATAATCATAATGATGAATCAAAAATCCTATATGTGCATCAAAAACCCCTGGAAGGACCGACACTAGCTAGCTTATAAGTTACAGAGATCACTAAAAATAGGAACATTTTTGCAAACACACCATTGATTAGTCCTTGTTGGGTTCTAAGGATTGAAGCATGTGTGAGAAGATTAGGAATAAAAAAATATGTGGCAGATTCATGAAACACATTTTATCATTAGTCCACGTTTTTTTATCAACCTACTCATACAAGGACCGTAGTTATAATATAACAACACACTGAAAAAATATTTTTCGAAAAAAAATTAGTCTTCTCGGAAGCAACAATTATATTACATGGAAATTTTATTTATTTATTTATCATTGTTTCTTTATATGTTTGCCAATCTACACGCATAATGACAGTTTGATATCGAGATCATAAAATGACCACCGACCGTATTAGTAGTTGCCTGTTCATCATTAGACATAGCTGACACATTAGATGCTGTGGAGTCCATTTGATTTAGTTTTGTGATGAGCTGTGAATTTTCATCTTCTAATTTCTGTTTAGCCTCAGTCATTTCTTTAACTGTCCGCTAAAAATTAATGTAAACTTAAGATGTACAATGAGAAGTGAAAAGAATAATCCTAATCATTTGGTCTATAAACAAAATAGATTACAGAATAGTACGTGAGAAATCTCGTTCTTATTGCGGTTAGTTTTATCCATTTTGTTAGTAGGGTAGCAAAAGTTATATATATATATATATCACAAATTTTTAAGGCGAAATTCTTTTGCCTTTTAGCTCCTGACTTATAAGGCAATCAGATTGATCATTCAAATAGCTTATTAACAAGCTCAGTTAACATCCAAGAATGCAATGTTCATGGCTGACGTTACGAATGTCCATGAGTATAAGTGCAGTTTAAAATTATCAGTCTTTGAACTTTTTGTCAATATTATATTTTCAAATGAAAGTTTCTTTCTCATGAAAATATTACAGTAATCCATACAGACAGTTTAAAGTCAAAAAAGGGCAAGGAAAATCTCATTTTTAAATCCAAATTCTTATGAAATCACTGCCCTCATACTAAAATCTTAGTTACATCCCTGTCTATTCACACTTACCAGTAAATGAATAAGTTGTGATTCCAATTGGTACGTTAAACCCAGCATTTTAGTAACATCCAGAGAACTAGCTCGACTTAAGACTCCACTTGTATTATCAGAAGTAGACGTCGATATAGAAATATCTGGAGCAATAGCTTGCGAACCGAAATCCAGTAAATTGTCATCAAAATCAATCGGTGATACAAGTTTAGGTGTTGGTAGAGATTCCGCTGCTGATAAAGTGTTGTCAGATTCTGCATCTGCTTCTTCTGCTATATCGACGCCAGCATCAGATATAACAGCCGAACCTAATTTTCAAATATGAAAAGATAATAAAAATAAAACCAGCAAAAAACCCATCCAAGTCATTCACAATCTCAACTCGAATATACAAACCTTCTTCCATCGCGTCAGCAGATGACAATGATGTCAGATCTTCCGTAGTATTCTCTTCCTTCTCTTCAAAAACTTCCTGAATCTGTGAAACAATCTCATTTGGTGATTGTATATTTTCGGCGTCATTTGAAACTCCTTCTGGTGATGGTGAACCAGGTTCACTTGCCGTCTCATAGTCAGACCCCACTAAGTCCAATGAAGCATTGCTAAGTCGATCCGATATGATGTTACTACTAACAGGATCAAGCGAAGAAGACGAGATGAGATTTTTGTCCTCGTCTTTTGAGTTTTCGGTCATTGATTCATTTTCTGTCCAATTCGTTTCTATAGTATCATCAGTTGAATTTTTTTCGTCGGTAGATTTCTCGAGTTGTCCATCTGATTCTGATTTATGGGTTGGAGTCGACGAGCCCATTTTTGAATTGATTGATTCTGGAGTAGGTAATAATACAGGTGGTGCCGTTGGTGGTAAAAATACCGTATCAGGACTCAAGGCATCATTCAGCATCATGGTAAGTCTTTTCGCTGTGAGAAATAAAAAAAATTATACATAATATTGAATTTTGGTATTTACTTGTGTATATGTGAACATGGCTTGATTTGGGGTACCCCAAAAAACATCATTCAGTCCTTTATTATTCCTGCTCCTAACTTACCTCAATCCTGAGAATCAGGATTAAGAAGGAAAATAAACATAATATTGATTTTTTTTTATACTGTTTATATATATGAGCATGGCTTGATTTGAGGTACCCCAAGGAACACCGTTAGGTCCTCTATTATTTCTGCTTTTATCACAACTCAATCCTGAGAATTATATTTCTCTGTTGGCTATACTGTATTGTTGAAAATAGATGAAAACACAAGTACGTTATATTTTTCTAAAAAACTTACTGCATGTTATTGTATGCAACACAACGGTATCAGGGTCAGCACTACTGTCTTCGAGTGACATGTCAAGAACGTTTTCTAACTGCGTGGATTCAATACCGGCATAAGATGCCAACAAGTTGTGCTTTTGTTCAAGTGCCTCAAATATTTCCTGCAAGCAAAACACAAATTTAATTTTTTTGCTGTCATTGGAAAGCATACAAAATTCAACTTCAAAACAGGTTGAAATAGAGCAACCAAGTAGGTCTCTATATTTTGTATCATTATTGCGCAAATTCCGTTCCATGCCTTTTATGATTCCATTGAAAATATTGAGTTAAATTGCTGTGTTATTGATAATTGTGACTCTGTACCTGCAGGCTTCAGAACTCAGGACCAGAATCAGCAAAAGCAAGATATTAAAAACTACGGGCCCTGCTACAGGTACTATCTTATCATAGGACGAAAAAGAATATTGAGTATTTAGTGGAATTTCAATATTTTTATGGGCTGTTATCAGCAGAACTATATACATGAACATTTCATATTGTATTCTATATTGTGACAAAATTCCCATACTGGCCACAATATAAAGTCACTGGGGTAACACATAGTGTGACTAGCAGTTTCTTTACACAAACTTACATCATGTTTTCCTTGTATTTTACCCAGAACGGTTTCCTTGCTCAGCTGTTCCTTTGTGATTTCTTGTTCTTTGATAACATCTTCATGTTTCTCAATATTCGGTGGACTACAAAAAGAGATAAATAAACTTGATCTAACAATTTAGGAATGAGATTAATTCATACTATAATGGAACATTTAAAATATTTGCATTGATCCGAAAGTCAAGAATTAACCTTACCTCAATCATACTGGTGAATGATATTAAAAACTGTATTTCTGAGAAATTTAGCATATGGCAATAACATTTGGTCATTTGGAACGTTTTTTCGCGTCAACCTGTACTTCAATTCGTCATATGTGACCAACGAAAAGGTGGTTTCCATTCCCAAATATTTTCAGCATGAACCATGACTTTCATTTATTTTAAGAACTAAGCAAAAGCAAACTATGCTAACTAATTTAACATGTACCTTTCAGGTTGAATAGGCCTAGATGTTTCAGGTACCATGAATGCTGATCTTCTGCTGGTAGTAGGCACTCGTATTGATGTAGCATCCTAGATAAAAGTTGTGTGAGGTTTTTCCATATTAGTAAGAAGTAATTAAGATGTGAAATAAAAGTGAAATCGTGTAGCTGATATAACAATTTGGCTTGACGGTTGGTACATCATCCTAAGTAATCGCACCACTGATTAACCAGGTTTGAATTCCATAATTAAAAAATGCTGGACTTGCCGCCACAAGACAACCATTCAATCAGGTTTAACTCAAACCTGTTTAGTATGACAATTCCTGTTTGTTGTGACTTGAGATCCATATTAAATTTATTGCAGTTTGAAAATGCACCAGACCTGTGGGCTAAAATATTTTGATATACCTCTGGCAATAGTAAACAGTGTTGCAACCGATGGTACTCTAAGAGCTATACGAGGGTTTCCTCCATGTCAAATTTGTTAGTCAAAACAGATGAAAGGTAATTCCAACAAGTTAAAGCTTTTGGCAAAATAAATTCAGACAAAACAATAAAAAAAAAGGAAAATCTTGATATAAACTGAAACTAACATTTTTCTTGGCAGATTCTGAAGTCGACTGAACAATTTTAAGCCACTCCTGCGTCTCGTGAGATGTCATTGCTACAAGTTCATAAATCTGAGCACCAAATTCAGATGTTGATACAAGAAAAAAAGCCCGTTTGTCTGAAATTGAAAAAATTCAAACTAGCAATATGAAATGAAAACGAATTTGAAAAATTGTTTCCTTAGGCAAATCAATCGTTATTCAATTTAAACTTCATTAACTAACAAATCATTTTAGGAAAGAGATCCTTACACATTACCATGATATAATTTTCAAAGTTATAAACTGAAATTACGGCGCTCCAAAGTGTGTACCAATACAGAGGTAACTATTTTTGTTCACCTACTTTACATCAAGTTGTGTAAAGGGACTGAAACCTATGGGAAGGGGGTATATTCACTTGGCTAACACATACAGTCCCCAAACTCGTAATAGAACTAAAATAAGGAAAATCGGAATAAAATTATGGCCTAACCCAAACCTGGTACACACACTACGTGAGTATCGAAAATACTATAGGATTTATTGTATCAGAAATGATATTACAAATAGTTTATCAATGATTTGAAACAAGAAATCGTTTTAATACAGACAATCAACATTATGTGAGTGAAATAAACGGATTTAACAATCTTACCTGTAGCTACATTCCGTACAAATATTTTTGACAGTTTCAATATAGGAGGTTGCACCGTACTTTTCAAATCTTTAGACGTTGTGCTTGTATGACATTTTAGAACATATTTTTCATCTTGTTTTTGCAATAGCACCATAATGTCTTCAAATAACACACAGTGGAGAACTGAAAACCAACATATCATCACGTTCTTAGTATGCCGGCTCGTTATTACTACAAACTGCTCTATACTTAATCGGTATTTAATCGGTAAGTATGTTGATAGTTATTTGTCTGTTTGTCTGTTAGATGCACGCGATATCTCACAAAAGCGAGATTGAATCTGCTCCAGATTTTGCATGTGCATTCATCATATGTCGGACCAGAAGCCTATTGATTTTGAATGAATTATGTCGTATAATTAGCGAGTTATTAATTAATTAGTGATGGGACACAAGGTGTCACTATGGAGTAAGAGCGCTGTTTTCGGGGATCCCCTAACTTTCGATCGATAAGTCTTCGGTCTCGGACCGATATTCTCGTTACAATATTAATATAAAAATATACATGATGCTACTGCACAATAGAAGTAAAGAAATATTATGACAAGCTTACCGACACTCTTCTTTTTCTCTGTTTGTGTAATTCTCCATGTTAAAGGTCCTTGGTGAACCAGTTTTCGTTCAGTTAAATTAATATTCTGCGAAAATTATAATTAATAATAATACTAGAATAGTAGAATTCTATACAGATAATATCAAAAATTGAGACTTGAATTTGGGACTATGTATGTGTATCTGAAATTTTTTTTTCTTTACATGCACAAACTTAACGTAGGGGCAATCGTAGAATTTCAGTCACCATTGAGATATGGATTTCAGACCCAACTGAAAGTGTGATAAATTTGGTTGAATATATTTGCAACAGAAAGATTCCCAAAAAACGAAGTATTCTTTAGCATATTAATCGTTGCTCACGTAGAGCAATGTTTAGATGAAAAGCGTGAAATACCACAAAAAACTTTTGGAATCCAATTCTAAAAACAAGCGTTAAATCAAAAAAACTACCGGTACCTACATCATGTATTCAGTTAACAAAATATTGGTGAATGAATAAGTATGTACCTTGTATTCCTGGGCGATCGGATGATTTACTTTATTGAGTGAACTTGCATCCAAATTCTTCTGAATTTCAACAATTTTCTGAAATGTGTAAGAAAAAATGGGTATTGTTTGTCTCAACATGAGATTAATCTAAATTTCCCTATTTCATACAAAAATCATTTCCTATATATATTCTAACTAGCATTGAAAATTGAGAGGCCACAGAAATTCTTCTACAAACAAATAACTATACTCCCATATTGCCTGTACCAGGCCAGGGTCAGGCCATAATTTTATTCCTATTTTCCTTATTTTAGTTCTCTTGCGAGTTCAGGGACTGTCTGTGCCAGCCAAGTGAATATACTCCCTGCCCATAGGTTTAAGTCCCCTTACACAACTTGATGGAACAGCATGAGTTACCTCCATATTGGTACACACACTTCTGGAGCAACAAATTAACAGATAATGATGGGCATTGTTTGTTGACAATATAAGGGATATTGTATGAGCATAACTCTACCACAGGGTCATCACAAAAATTTCATTACATAAATTATGACACCGACAAAGAACAATACTACAACAATACTTTCCAGCTCAATCACCAAGCTAAAATAAGTTTATAGAATAAATCATAACATGTTATATTACCTGATGATCTTCTGCAGCTTTGACAGCTTTATTGACGTAACTTAATATTGCTTTGCATTGTTTCTGTACCTTACGCAGTTCTCCAGCTTCATCTTTTTCTGTAAAACAGTAGTTTTTTGAATTTTTGTTAGAAATTCAGGTAAACATATCCACAAAATTTGTTGTGAATTCTAGTAAAAATCAAAAATTTTTAGGACATTTGAAGAAATTCAGAAAACTTGAATACCAAGTAACCAGTAAAATTTGACATATACTGGTATCAGGATGTTGCTGCATAGCAGTCGTACCCAGAATATATCTGAACTATTTTTGGAATAGATAATTGTACAGCGATGTTACATGTAATGCTATTACACATAGCAAAAATCAGTCAAGACAATAATACAAACAAGTATAACAAATCCGATTTACATACATAGATTTACACACAACTTTCAAATTCAAGCCATATTTCAAATTAGAATTATTTTTCTATCAACCAAAAACTGAAGCTTGAGTACAATTTCATTAAAGGGTGTTGTAACCTGGGTTGCCTAGGGCAAGCTTACAAACCTTCTAAAACAAATCAACTCCTCAAGAATTAGCATCTGCTTATCTAGGGCTTTGTTTCGAGCATAGTCACCCCATAGAATGTTATTAGAGAAGGTCAGTAAAAGTAACTAATATTTTTGTCACTATAATACATACTTTTTGTATTCTTTATTATATTTTCGAGAAGCAGTGGATATTTGGTCAATCTTTGAAACTCAATCGGAACATAATCTTTTAACTGTAATCGTCGACAAATAGGATGCTTCTCAGTCATCTGAAATATGTGGAACAAGATGTAGAATATAAACCTTGTAAGTTGTGTGTATAAGTAAGTGATGTATAAGAAGTGAATCTACTTAATTACCTTTTCAAAAAAAAAAAAAATTCCCAATATTTATTCAGGACAAAATTGTGCGATTTTACAAAGTAAAGCGAACCAGTGAAGAAGACTAAGTTTTGTTTGACTTTTTTAAAGTCAATTTTGACGTCTAAATGACATACTGTACTATTGAATATTCTAATACCTATATTCAAAATGATTCTGATATTCAGAAATATCCCTCATATCTCCAATTAAATCAATCTAAAAATATTCAGTTAGCGTTTGGGTGTAATCAGCGGTGGGATTCAGCCGGTTTGTACCGGTTCTATAGAACCGATTCATGGAATTTTATGAGATCAGCGAACCGGTTAGCATTACTGGTTACTGCCAATGTTCTGTTTGCAACAGAACCGGCTGATAAATATGACTAACAGAACCGGCTGACAAAAAATTTGAATCCCACCGCTTGGTGAAATCCATTTACCGTACATAAGTCCATTTAAATGAGTTCAGTCACTTCATGATCACTCACTAGAAAACAAAATTTATAAAAGTAATTACCTGTATGAAGGAGTTAAATTTCTGATCTTTTTTACATCTTTCCTTTATAAACTCCAGGGCTGCAGTTTGATTCCCGCAATATTTAGCACATTCATTTTTAAATTTTTCGCCACGATCACCATCAAACTGAATCAATGAAAAACAATAAATTCAAACATTAGTATTTTTTTACTTGTGTGGGTTGTTGAAACAAGAAGTCAATTCTTACCATTTCTAACAGTACATGTGAGATTTCTACTATAACGTGGCCATCTTTTTGTTTCAATTCGATCAATGCATCTTTTAATTTTCGATGCATTGATAAGATTTCCTGAAGATTGGGAAATACTGTGAAAAGATCTTCTTGACTCAGTCCACCTTCACTTTGCATTTTATTGTAAAACAACTGCAAAAAAAGAAGTGAATATGAGAGTTATACATCAAGTTGCAATGAAATACTTTTGGAAATTTAAAAATTTAAGCTATTCAAGATAAGTATATATAGGAAATGGTACCTGGGCAGTGTGTGTACAGGGTTAGGCCATAATTTCATTCCAATTTTCCTTATTTTAGTTCTATTGCGAGTTCGGGGACTGTCTGTGTTAGCCAAGTGAATAAATATACCCTCTGCACATAGGCTTCAGTCACTTTACACAACTTCGTGTAAAGTAGGCAAACAAAATTAGTTACCTTCATATTGGTACATACACTTCTGGAGCGACCAGGAATTAGTGGTATAATATATCACCAGAAGGAAAAACAAAATATTAGGAAATATATATCTGAAAGCATAGGGTCGGGGGTCACACTGATATCTGAAACAGCTTATCACATGGTAAATAATGACCAAAATGGGAATCTGATAAAAAGACTTACTTTTAGAGCAGTGGTTCTTAACCTTTGCAACCTTCCAAACCGCTACGTGGAAACCAGATGATAATCAGACCACCAATAGGGGGAAGCTAATTTTTTATGAAAATTTTAAAAATTTGATGGAGTATGAATTCGTCAAGTGACTTTTGAGCATAGTCTGATTTTTTGGGGTTCTATTTGAAGAAAAAAACTCCCCAAATGGGTAACAAACCCCAGGGGTTCACACAGAGTTACATTCAGAAACACTGATTTAGTGCAATGTCAACTTACACATCAATCTGTAAGAATTATTTTAATAACAGCAAAACCATGTCAAATAAAACCGATGAAAACATTTTCAAGCCAAATACCAACCAGATTAATTATAAGCAGATCTCGAACATGATGTTTTTCAGTGTGAAGCAGTTCGCTAATGATCTCCTGTCGTTTGATTTCTTTTTTGTCCTGTTGTTTGATAACATCTCGTGGTGTCATTTGCGACCATTGATAATCAGGTTCGACTTCAAGTTCAGGGTTCGCGGCGATCAAAGGTGCGATCATATCTTCGTATGTTGTGGATGACAATGATCCTGAAGTTTGCGAACCTGAGAGACTGATAGAACCAGTAGAAACCATTGACGATGTGGAGTTTGAATTTGACATCTGACTAGACGTATCACCGTTCCCTCTGTTTGAAAATTGAAACAGATTGAAAATATATGAATTTTTTTGAGATGTGTTTTATATGCTTTTCCCGCAGAACGAGGCTCTACATAAGCACTATCAGGTAAGGAGATACTATAGCTTGAAATTACCAGAATCTTTTAGAGTTAAGCATTGCCTATGCAATTTAGGTGTTGGTGGGCATGGGATTTAAACCCGAGCTTCTAACAGGCAGGCGCCCTAGGAAACGACATGAAAGGTTTGTGGTTATGCTATCATGGTATCTTGTATTTGACAAATGAATGAATTTTTTAACAAATTTAAAGTGGGGACATTTCATATGGTAAATTTACAACTTTAAAAATATTATGAAGTGTTATTACCTAATGGCAGACTCAACAGCCATGGAATCTGGATCACTGTTGCTTTTACCAGTTGCTGATCGATGTCTCTTGTCGCCACGGAAACTACCAGATCTCCCAATGCTTAATAAACGGACAATAATTAATAATTAAAAAAACTAAAAATAATTTATTAGTATGTAACTGTTGATATTTAATTACACTCAGCATATACCGAGCACAAGTGAAATATGAAATCAAAAAGAGGTATATTTAAGGGATTTTAGTTACTATGCTATCGGCGGCTTTAGATGGATTTTGTATTTTCTCAGAGATGTGACGCAATAATACAATTGACAACATAGCAGTCAGAACAAGAAATGCGAGACAAAGGGCACAGCTGTATGTCAGGCACCCTTCAAACAAAGAGGCTAAAGTAAATGTCAAAACAGTATTCCCATGGATTAATAAAAGAAAACAAACTTTTGGGAAAAAGTAATTTCCACACAACAATAATCTATTATAACGGTATATCCTAAAAGAAATAAAAGGCATACCTTTTGCTCTTCTTGGTTCCCGGTACATCCAGTACATCAGCGTTTTCTGCATTGTTTGTTGATGCTGATTTATTGTTATCAACATCCTGAAATTTACCAATCATTTGACTAACATGTCCACCATCTCCTGGATGAGAATCTTGTTGAGTAGTCTGCATGACCGGAATCACTGTGGACAACATCAATGAGGCTGTTTGAAAGTTAGAATCAACAAAAAATTAGCACCGCAAAACGAAAAGTAGCGATAGAGAAAGCGTGTTAGAGTGCCACCAGGCTTGTTCATAGTAACACATGCAAAAATGGTAGGAAGCAATTTCCATTGCAAAACTACAGAGTTTGCTCTATACCAGACATAGGCAAAATACGGCCCGTTGGATAATTCAATCTGGCCTGCCTGATGCTGCCAAAACCAAACTGAAACCAAATTTTGATGTAGAAATTAGCGTTTTCTTTAGCAAAGCTCAGGGAATTTGTTGAGATTGTGGTTAAATTTAGTTTTCGCACGAGGCATATTGTTTTCCACCTTTGCTTTGTAATATTGTTCATAAAATGTAACTTTTGACGTCGCACTTACATGGCCCGACAGACTAATTAGACAAAATTTTTGGCCCCTGGTTCGAAAACCTCGCTCACCCCTGCTCTATACTATTTGTCCATGTGATACTATGTAGCTATATTAGTATGGAAGCTTATTGGAATGTTAGAAAAATTGAGCTGAAACAAAATAGCAATGCTGTTAGTAAAGAATGCATTCGCGCCTTTTTTTTCTTTTTTTTTTAGCAATTAACATTAGGAAAAGGTTATAACACGATATGATAGAAGACACAAAAGTAACAATAAAAAGGTATTTTGAATGAATACTAAAATCCAAACGTGCAAATTGCCGATAATTATACATGGAACAGAAATCAATGTTTGATATGATCATAATACTCGAGTCAATAACATATGAATTGACATTGAACTTTGTAATGGGAGATTTCTTTCACTTCAGAGTAAGCGCATCAAACAAAGCAAAATTACAGTCAATACCATAAATTATATACAATCAGTAATTTACTTCAAACAGTCGTTATTGGAAAATTATTCTGTTCATTTTGTTCGACCTCAACAAATCATTTGATGCTCAATTCTACAATTGCTTCAAACAAAATACACAAAAAGTCCATGTTATTACAACTATATTTTGGGAGAACAGCAATCTTTTGAGTTTGGCCTAACCTATCCAATTAATAACACACTAGATAAGATGATGTACAGGGGCTCAAAATGAGGTGTCTAACCTAAAAAGAAAACATAATTAGGCAAAATGTGTCACTGTCAGCCACTAGTGCAGCCATCAGATTATATTTCCATTTTCCAGGGGAAAAAAATTGTGTCATAGCAACCCAAAGGTGTCATACAATTTTGCATTCAGTTCAAGTGTCTTTTACAAATGCATGAATAGAATACTTCCCATGTTCAGCAAAACCAGAAGAATGCTGAAATATTTTATCAGTTAAATGGTAATATTGTACTTTGTTTAGTTTAGTAATTTATTAACCAGTGTCTGCATTAGTTGCACATAATGTCAAATGTGTACAGAAACAACAATCGCGATTCAGGGGAATTCCATTGATACCGTTAATGCTGTAGCGGCAATGTGGTAAGGTATAACATTTTTTGTAGATACTCTGATAGTCAAGACGCTGTCTATATTATGGCAGCCCAATAGCTCACCACAGAAAAGTTCATGCAAATGGTGATTGGAATTAGATATACATCTCTATTTCTAACTGTTAGGTTAAATTGTTAAAAAAAAAAATAATTCTGAAGTTCGTAATCCGTATGGCATAGTATACACAATTTCCTACACATTGGGCATAATGGACTACATCCTGCGATTATAACAATCAAGTTATCACATTATTCAATATTGCCTGCTTTGTCTAAACTAAATTATCACAAAAAAAATTAGCCACACATTACAATTTGGAATAAATGATTGAAATAAATGTTGATTCAATGAAACTCCAAAATCATATTTTCAATTAACTTCAAGATTGGTTTAGATTCCCCTTTATCAACCAATTTTTTCAATCAATAAACACCTGGTCTTCGAAGCGAAGCATTTTTATCATTTTCTTGATTAGCCTTATCTTTGGGAGATGGTTGGCTTTCCTCAAACACATTGTTGATGGTTGGAGAATTCAATGATGTTGGTGTTAAAATAGAATCAGAATTTCTTGGGGTTTCGGATTTGCTTTGTGTGGCATGATCTATTGGAAAAGGTCCGTCAATTTGGACGGTAGTACCAACATGAAATACAGACGAACTCGATTCTTTGCTAGCTTTTGAAGCTTTGTCACGTTTTGATGATTCTTTGACTATAAAGAAAGCAAAATTTCACCGGCATGCTAATTTCCATTTTGAATATATTAGTAATGTTGGGACCAGAAACTTTGCATCATAACTTGAGTATTTCCTTTCAAATATGCTTGTACTTCTCAAACCAGAAGAAAAGTTTGACCACATGCTGAACCATTCGTCTTCAAACACATTGCTATTGTTGAAACCAGATATACCAACATTTTTACTACACACTGAACTATTTGTTGCAAATATAATGGCGCTGGCTGCCTAAACCAGAATACCTTTCCCCATACTCCTGTGCCCTAAAAATTCTGTCACTACTCTGACCAATAAAAAAAATTTGATTTTACATTCTTGACCAATTACTGGAACTTCTCAAACCAGAAGAATTTTTTGACCAGATACTGAACCATATGCCTTCAAATATTCTAGTTCCTTTGAAGAAAAAATATGTTATTTCACACAAATTTCAATACATTTTAACTCAGTGATTTATCATTTTTAGAATAATCTTCAAATATCTATTGTAACCAGAAGAAATTTTATACCATCTGTCTCTAAACATACTGGTACTGCCAAAAGAGGAGAAAAAAACATACTGGATTATTATCTGACCACAAAAACACTGGCAATTCTCAACGTGTTTGTATCACATACTGTAATGATCGTTTCCAAATAAAACCATAATGCGAATACCTGGAGAAATTTTTCCACTACATACTAATCCATTTGCCCTCAAATATATCAGTAATCCGTAATTTTTATATTGAATACTAAACCAACTCTTTGGTATAAACTGATATACTATACGCAGAACAATATTTAACCATTTATCTTCCAATATGCTGGTACTCCTTCAAACAAAAGGAATTCTTATACTGCATATTGCACCTTTTACCATAAATATACTGGTAGGTTTCAAACAAGAAAGACCAAGTCTTTTCTTGTACATATATATTGATCCAACATAGTTGCGCAAATCCAGATATACAATTTCTGGGAAATCTTCTTACAAAGAAGGGAGTGAAGGCTGTGCATAAACACACAGAAAAGTACTGTTTCTATGTTGAAACATTCTTAACGTAGTGGAAGTGGCCAAAGCCTATCCAGATGAAACGTATTATAACTGGCTATACTTTGGACAGACAAACAAACTGAGAATATTAGCAAATTGTACGAATGAGAATTTGCACAGACTTATTTTATGCTCCTACTATTTCGCTTGAAAAAATCAAATTTCAAAAATAGGTCTTATTCAATGCAAAAAGAATATGGAAAAATAAAAATAAATCCAAAAATAAAACAAAAAAAGTTAAAAACTATCTTCAGACATAGGCAAAATAAATAAAGCTTGATTACTCTAAATTAACAATGTTTTAAGACAAATTGAACCTAATTTCAACTAAAATCCACATCTATTAGATGTATTGTTACTATGTCCTCTAAGCTACTCAAAAAAAAGACAAATAAAATTTTCAAGTATTCAACTAACCGGTTCCTGACGTAGTTTTCTTTTTGCCGAACTTCTTTTCGAAAATACTTATTCGTTTGTTTGGGTCATCGATAATTGATTCCATACTACCGGCAGCTTTTGGTCTCATTTGAACCTTAGAAAAGGTGAAATGTTATACTTTTGATAACAAGAAAATTTGGTGACAGAAACTGCAGGTTATAACTGTGTCATGTCATAGTTCTCCAAAGAATGAAGGCTTCGCCATAGCCAATTTTTGATAATATTTTTGCAAAAAATTCGAAATTCAATAATTGCACATGTCACCTAACGAAGAAGTTCTAGATTCACGAAAACATGTCGTCACTCAGCAAACATTTTGAGAAACCTTTTCTACTACAGGGTTTCATTACAAATAAATTATTATAGAAAGTAATACTCTATCTCAATCATTAGTGACTACAATCTGAAGTGAAAGATTATTTCAACTTGAAAAGGTTGCACGACTTTGTATGAATGATGCTTGCAGGATCATAATTATTTTACAAAGGTTAATCATCATGGAAATCACAATGTATCTTTCTTAGTTAGTATTATTAACTTGCTATTTAATTGTTAATCTTTTATTGTAGCACTGAGCGCCTATAATAATAGTCACACTTAGAAAATCTTCTAAAAACAATTTATTCACCGGTCTTGTTCGTAACATTGACCCGAACACTCTTGATGTGATTTTGCTTTTTCGTTTTCCAGTCCATTGACTGAGTAACTTCTCAAGCACTTCAAGTTTAGCAGTACTGAAATAATAACAAATAGTCAGCATATTGTGAGCGATTGTCTATTGCAGTGTTTAACGACCTTTTATGTCTTGTGGCCCCTTTCTGGGAGATTTTAGAACCCATGGCCCCTCTGTATATCATTCCAGTGGTATGCATAGTTTTAATTTGATTGCCAGATCCCGAATCCCATTATAACAATTTAGGTTCAACGAAGTGAAAACATCCTGTGAAATAATCTTATCAAGCAATGAAACTAGAAAGGTAAAAGTAGGGAAAAAAACAACTGCTTTGTAGCCCCCATCAGCCAGTTTTTAGTATTTATCTTGTTTTCCATTCGTTAAATCGGCATTATGTGTTGAATATATTGTGCGAAAATGACAAAAAAACTAAAAACTCACTTTTTTACAGCTTCTGTATCATCAATACCAGCCTGAGGTTGCCTGAACCATAATGAAAAATATAATAATAATGACATATAATTATTTATTTATGTAATGTAAGTTATATACACTCTCCAGTCTCCACAGTTGGCTGCCTGAGTAGTCCACTCTCCACTGTGTGGGCAAGTTAAAATTCAGCAGAGTATGATTATGTGAAAAAAATGTATTGGCCACAGGGCTGTTAGTGTAACTTAACTAGACATGTAAGACGTCCTCCTCTGTCCAAACCCACGAATGCAGAACAATTAATTGGTGATCAGATCCATTTCCAAACTGAATAACTTTAGAAATAACCAAACTGTTGTTGTGACTAATGATTCAACAAACTGTTTAAATCAGGGGTTCGCAAACTCAATCAGGGGTTCGTCAACAACAATCAACGCGAACCCCTGGTAATCTGACACCAAACAAAGTTGGGATATACAGATATATTAACTAACAATTTGTTGCAACACCAATTTATTGACCATATATAACTAAATTAAATCGTCTTGTTGACATTATTGCCCTTGTCGTCTGCCTAACTAATGAATTCTTAAGATCTCTCCCTAGTTACAATAAGCATAATCGCTTCTCCAATGCTCGCAGCACACTGTCTTTAGAGATTTCACAGTTTGTACGCAAAGCCTTGAATTTCATATTGTTGCGTCATAATCACAACAACGCAAGATCAGGGAAAATCTACGTTTCAATTGGCGTCTAGTTTAATGGGCACGCATTTTCCCATGATAGTAATGAAGGATATTGAAAAACAGCAACATACAAAAACTCGACTGTCATACAAGTATCCTTGGAAATCTTCTCGTGAACCGCTGGGGGTCGCAAACCACAGGTTGAGAACCCCTGGTTTAGATATTTAGTTCAAAAAATGCACTTACCCGAGATCTTGCATGAGAGGAGCAAGTATTTCTTCAACAATTTTGGTTTCCTGGACAAAATCCATGTTCTTGGTTACTTTATCTTCGCCGAAGCAATGAGTAAGTCCTTGGTCTCTTTTTACACAGAATTGTTCTAACTGAAATTTCACCTGAAGTGAAAAGCATTAAACATGGGTGTTATGAACGAGTCGTGTAATCAATGTAAATATTTCAATTACAAAGATGATAAAAAGGTTAGTTTCTTTGCAGGAATGATCAGTTTAACATTCCATATTCCCGTTCTTATTTTTTAACAACATGTCTTTCAATCCTAACAAGGCTCTGTACAAGTATCCAGTGATATGTAACAATGTAAGGGTGGGGGGCATGGGATTTGAACTCATGATATTTCACCTACGGTGACAACATAGTTGCAGATCTATTCCAACAAAAATATTTTCAAATCCAATTCACCTATAAGCCTTATACTTCAAATACGTGGAGCACACAAATATTATTTGAAATAACAACTCTCTTGATATAAGATCCCACAGTTTGTGGTCAGTGTAATTCATGATCAATATTCGGTAAAAATATCTAGAACTCACCGTTTTGAGAGCGTGTTGAACTGCAGGATCAAAAACAGATCGCAGAGCTTCCTCTGATAAGCTTTTGGATTGTATTGCTTCAACTGTTGTGAAATACAAATATTAGAGTAATGTAATTATGTAACAAACAATTGCAAAAGAATATGCTTCATGCAATGCTGTAAAACAACAGTATTGTACTAACAGAGCCACCCAAAACAAATTGAATATTCCAATTAAATCTAAATTTATTATGTATAATATTTAATATTATCATTTTGATCAATTGAAGTTTAACAGTAACACTAAAAACAGCCCTCATTCAATTTTTAAAAACTGCAAAAATAAAGATTCATTTAAATCATTTATTACTGGCTTTTCCAAAGTCAAAATTGAATATACATTGTAATTCTATGTAATCCTTGTTGAATAGGACCCAATTGAGAAACGGAATATTTCTGATATTATACATATATTTAAAATTATTTATTTTAGATTGAAGGTATTTGAAATATTTGACTAATCGGTTCTATCCATTCCTGTATACTAATATAAAAAATTTCTTCAAATGGCAACTATTTGACAAAGAAAGATTTTAAATATTAATATGCTTCTCATCAAAAAATACGATTTGTGGTATGACAAGATTTTCTATTAGAATGCTTAGAATCTCAATTAAGCATAAGGTAAAGAAAGGATGATAACCAAAAATTCTTCAAGTCCAGTTCTCATTATCATAACCATCAATTTTTGTTACCCTTGCATAACATCTTATTCCCGCTATTATTCTGCTCCTAATCACAAATGAACCTTTCTTCCATTCGAGTTTCTTTTCTCTTCTTATTAAAAAAAAATATTATAAACACCAAGCAAAACAAACCTATACTTTTTGCAATTCCATCATCCAATCCGTTGAACCTCAATATCTAAAAAAATAAAGAATTTAGTTAGATTGAAGGTAGATAAACGGAAGAGGAGCAAGCTAGAACTGTGCTTTGTTTTAAAAGAGACATTATTTTAAAATTAAATGTTTTTGAAATCAGGGAATCCAATAAGTGAGTGATCCTTTTATGTGTATGCAATTGAATCAATTCCATATAAAAATTTATCACATTCAGCAAATATAAATCTATGTTGTGTTTCAGATACTTTCAGATATTGGAGAGTTATATTCTGTTTTATCTATCACAATCACAGAGTCATTTTTACTTTAACTTTACTTTAAATTCTTTCAATTAAATATTACGGATGCACTGCCCTGTATTGAGTATAAGGTATTAAAAAGTTGAGCAAACTATATATGAACAAAGATACCTTCAATTAGGAATCAGACGTCGGACATTTGATACAAAAATGGAGATTTCAAACTGAATTTAGCTGAATTTAGCTTAGCTGAACTAGATTTCACAGCCAAAATTACATAATTGTGACCAGAGATGTTCCTGGTACACTGGCGAAAACTGTCTCTCTGCAAAATGTCACATTACTTTTCATTGATTTAGTTTCATTCAGCATACTTCTGTGGGAGTGACATCGTGGCTGGCTCTAATCTGGGTATCAACGTATGTCTAGTTTTAAATCAAAATACCACATTCAAAGAGAAAGTGATTGAAAATACTTACCGCTGATGGATTTATATAGGTTTTTGATATGTTGTCTGCTGACTTGTTTAATTCCTTCGTGTTGGATATCAGTTTATGCTGTTCAACACTCAAAACAAGTAACTGGTGGAAAAGGAAAAAATTGTTCAAACAATTAATACTTATATTGATGGGGCAAAATAAGTAGATATTAAAAGACTATTAAAGACTATTTTGAACAAATTTAGTCTTTTTAAATACCCATCATTAATCCAATTCACATCAAAACTTCAGTATTAATTGATATACGGTGATTATTATTTATTTAATTTATATATTCAATTAATTACCCATACATTATTGTGATTCAAACCTAAAGCCTTAAATTAATTTTGTTGTTTTGATTCTCGCTTTAGTATTCTTGCAGTCAGAATCGCTAAAGCAAAGGCTAAGAGAAATATAGATAGGATCATACTACTATATTCAAACACATAACCATAATTATACAGAAAATGCTACAAATATTCCATAAGCTTTAAATATAAACCTTTGTTTTCCCTCTTTACAAATTTCAAAAATAAAAACGACCCGAAGTTCTATGTAGGAGAGAGTTAAAGGCGGCACAGAAACATAGAATCTTGATGTAGTAATCTTGATGAGTATTCTCTGCTTACAATGTACTTTCTTATTAAGAACTCACCAAAGCACATGGATCATGACTTCGAAATACATAGTATAAAAATACAGCTGTATGTGCGGGATGGACCTTAAGTTTATCAAAATCCTGGAATGGTCCGTGATCAAGAGGCTGAAAAACAAAAAACTTTGTTTTAGTAAACAACATACCTAATACTGTTTGATAAAAATTTGATTAAAGAAAATATAAAATTACCAATAGATAAAGATTGTATGAAATTTGGAAATTTTTTTATCCTGGTGGGACGATGTAATCATTGCCAAGCTATGACCTCTTGTCCGGTTACCAGTCCATCTGGGGCATGGGGTTAGTTAGCGAGGTATTTGTTTCGGATGTATGGACTTGAATGATGAATTCACTACACAGGTATGGCTGTTTATCAGGGTAATTGTTCAGGGGAAAACACTGAATAAGATCATATGAATCCATGCTCATTTAATCAAGACCAAATCAATTGAATTTTAGAAATAATATTCCAATAATTTCTAAAATATTTATATTACAACATTGAAACAAAGCAAGAAAAATTCAACCCTTGCAATAATCTCCCAGAATTGCATATTCACTAAAATAGTTCAATACTATTATATCAATAAATTATTGCAAACAGTATAAAGATAAAATAGCCATTTTGGATCTCTTATTGAGTACTGAAACAATGGATGTTCTATTGACCCTTGACCCCAAAAAAATTCTCCCTATACACTACCATTGTATATTTTTGATGCCAATTTTGATTGCATTTTAGCGAATTAGAACTTGTAAATGGGTATACTTCTTTAAAATGCAATTTGTTACATAGGCAACCAGCGTGAAACTGCAATGGCGGGTAATTTTAGCGTAGTCTAAAGCAGCTTTTCAGGGACCACTCTTTTGTTACCACATTTAATGTAAAAAATTCCTAAAGACAAAATGAATGCTGCTACGTTGCAACTCAATATTTAAAACCGTACCATAATCAATCTGAGTGAAAAAAGTCTGCATAGTTGCTAAAATGTCAATTGTGATGTCACCAGCTACTGTTAGTAAAATAAACTAAGAGGTTTATCCTTGTAGAAAATCCATAACAAAGGACTTACAGCATCAGCTTGGTCAAACAATTCCTCTTCTTCAAAATTCATAATAATAGGTCGTTGTGTTCCAACGTCATCCTTCGCTTTATGACGATCGGACTGTAATGTTCAAATTGAATATCTTCAAATAAATATATATTAGGAGTCGTTTATCAGAGGAATATATCAACTGTCTGTCCTTACAAAAGATCATTTCATTGAAATTACTTCTCATATGCTCATGTTTAGAACTTGACATGCCATGACCAAATATATTAAAAATAACATTAAGGGAGAAGTACGACATTCAGCTACAAATGATCGTTCGTTCACCTCAGCCTCAATAAAAATACCCTTAGTAATAAAATATGTTAAACATGGACTTTATACATCAGGCACTTTAATTTCACATTCATGTTTAAGGTAAACGGCCATTGTTTGTAATAAATAATTGATAGTGAAAGTAGTGAAACTTGTTGGAATATAACAAAACCAGTTTGAAAGTGGCAATTAGGAACATGGAATGACCTGTTCTTGTAGTGAAAAAAATTTACACCTAATGGGGAAATTTAATCCATTTTTAGTATGTAAAGGTGGAAAGAGCTGGTGGGCTATTTGCCTCATTTTCAATTTTTTCCGACTCACTTTTTCTGTCCTATTACACTTTAAATTTCAACTAGTTTGCATAATCCGTGAGCACTCTCCTACTACACTCGGCACAACTTGGCTGGAAATTTTGTTGACTACTAATCATTAGACCAGCCGTTCTCAAACAATGGGGCACAGCCCACAAAGGCATAGACAATTCACTTTTTCTCGTGAAGCTAATTAAAAATTGCTTGCTTTATTTGGATATTCACATTTCTTTATATTGAATATCAACGGTCCATCCATGTATTTTTAATGTGCTTTTTTTAATAAAACATACTTTCACGCCTCACTGTATTTTGAGTACTACTGCATTAGACTTTTGTGATTATATTTTTCAACACTTTTATCTTGTTTTAGCAACCAGCCTTTTTGGGTCAGAAAGTAATATTCGGAATATTAAAATAAAATCCTTACATTTGAGTTATTATGAGATATTGTATTTTCATTATGGCCACCTTCTGTTGACATTGCGTCTTTCCCTGTGGTTTGATCGGGATCTCGAAATCTTTTTACCTGAAAATAATTTGCATATAATAATGAATCAAAGCCAACTTTAGGTAAACATGGTTACATTTTGTGCCACCTGTAGAAAAGTAACCAATTCATTGGTGGTGACTGGTGACAATACCAACTGTTTTAATAATAGCAAATAGGTAATTTTTAAGACTGTTGTTATGAAGAATCCACAATGTGTACCATTTTCAAGTACATAAGTCACCGTTGACAGGGTTATGTGAGCCAATAAAGAGTTAACATTAAAATGAGAAATTGGAAAATAAACTTCAACATAAAAATAAAAAATTTGCATGATTTTTAGAAAAATTCAACTGTTATAATATGCAAAATCAGCATATTACTGTAATATTTCATGATTGATAAACATAAAAGATATAGTCTCAAACAATGTAGAAAAGGTCATTGTCTGAGTACGAATCACTTTTGAGTATTTGAAAAAGGGATTGGATATTGACATTATTTACAATATCATATAGACAACATAAAATGACAATGATGAACTTGCTGGACTTCAACATAATAAATAAAAAAAGGATCTCAAAGATAGATACATCTTCAATATTGCAAGAAGTGTAATATTTAAAATAAAATAAAAAATAAAACACTGTGTAAGAAAGAAAGTTCTTTTTTTAAGAGAGTTCTTTTTTATATTCAGAGCACTCGAAAATGAATAATTCATATAGGAAGAATGACACAGTTAAGTAGGAAGAAACCGGACTTGAAAAATGCCGAGATGGACATGAAACTGAACAATGGTTTTGAATTTATGCTGATATCTAACAAAACAAAATTTTGGATGAGTAAGAAACACTGCTAGGAAATAGATAATCTTTCTACTCCATGAATAATACAGAATGGCCCAAAATGCAGAACTCATAGATTTCTCGATTACTTCTATGAAATGAAGAAAATTTATCCAACTCTGGAGCTTCTGTTTGTGTATGACTGTACCAAAAGAATTCAGTAATCTACCGTAGGATGCTTTGCACGAAAGTTATGTTCTCTCTAAGGTGTGTGTGTGTACCAGGTTTGGGTTGGGCCATAATTTTCCTTATTTTAGTTCTATTACAAGATCGGGGACTGCCTGTGTTAGCCAAGTTAATATACCCCCTGCCCACATGTTTCAATCTCTTTACACGACTTGATGTAAAGTAGGCGAACAAAATTAGTTACCTCCATATTGGTACACACACTTCTGGAGCGTCTTCTCTAGTATATGTCCCAAATGACGGGGTTCCATGCTCTATCAGTATTTACCCTGTAGTTTGATATAAGGATGGATATATGGTCCTAATGATATTAATGGCATGCTCTGTATAGGGATATTGCCATATAGACAGATATAACAGTAAAATATTGGATGTTCACATCAGAACATGATTTTGAAGAGCATAGAAAATTCCATCTATTTTATGTCTGATGTGTGAACTTAGTACATGGAGAACTATGTTCACCTTAACAATGAAAGTAGAAGGTTTAGTTAATCATTTATTTTTTATCCAGACATAACATATTATCATGTGATTGTTTTTCATTCATTTTATTTATTTTAAGTGTGGAATTGCAAACAAGATTTTAAACTCAATGATATTCAACATTGCCGATACCTAATAATTTAGATTAGCAAAATTGATATTTTTTACTAAAAATTTGCCCCTTTCTCTATTGAAATCATATTGCCAAGTTATAGTATAATTTCAATGCAAACAGGTTTACAATAATTTAGTTTGATGAACTACAATGTACTGTTCTAAAAATGGAAATATCTTCCTGAAGTATTGTACATAGGTGTAGAGTGAAGCAAGTGTGTTCTTATCAAGCTATACGTTTATTGACCTATCCCTATAGTGGGCGAGGTGAAAACCACATTTACGCGATATTGTAATTTGTAATGCTATCTTTTCTCATTTAACTGTCATATTCCAGATCAGTGTGACGCAAGCTAATTTTGTGATTACTTCAATATTATAAATAGTATATACAGTAATTACTGAGAATAAAGTAATTGTATGAGCCCTAAAATCACATTTTTATTTATGGGCGATATTGTATGCCAAGAAAAATCAAACAAAAAGTGTACAGGTATTTTATTCTAAATTAATTTTGGAAAACGGTTATAGTACAATTCTGCAAAATAATTCCAATATCATAACTATATTTACAATAGGTCACAAGCATGCCTTAGGAAAATAGGCATTGATTTGCATACTTTTACCGAATATTCTGTAAATGCTGATATTTGAAAAAAATTTAAAAAAATTTGATTACGTTATTATTCTGTTTAGAAAAGAATTCAAAAAATAAATAAAGATACCTGACAAAGACAAAATAAAAAAAGAGGATTTGTATTACATTAGAGACAATCTGATATTGCTAAGGTAGCACGCTCGATGAATATGACATAAATATGAAAATAAAATCAGTAAAGATAGCATGCACCATGGCATATACATTCCTTTTGTTCAAAATAAATTATGAAAGCATACAATACAAAATACAGGATTGCTGATTATGTATTGCCTCATCAACAAAAAATTATAAAAATCGATATGATGCATTTTACTAACCAAAGACCTATTATGCCTTATAGCTCCTGATCGCTGTCTCGATAAGCGTGATTTTTTCGAAGACTTTAATAGAGGTATCTGAGAAATATTTTGTCCTGGTTCCCCAGAATTGCCCTTATTTTCCCAAGATATGTTTGGTGTAGAACTTTGCACGTTAGATGTTACAAAGTGTGGTGAAACAACATTGCAATCTTTCGGTTGTTCTTCTGATAGCGACGAATATGGATGAGAAAAGCTGCTCACACGACTGACAGGAAACCTGGGTTTATGCATGGAGTCAAATGGAATACTGAAACTAGAACTATGTCCACGTCCATCATGCCAATACAGCGAAGAAGGTTCTTCCCATGCATTTATCGGAGAAGAGCTATAAAATCCTATAGAACCAGGCATATCACTGCCATCGGGAAGCATAGATGGCAGACTATGTCGATTCAGTTTTTTAGAACTTTTGTCGCTGGCAACAGGTTTTTCTCGAAATTTCACCCTCGCAAAAACACCAGATTTTTTTTCACTAGATTTGCCTCCTTTTTCCATTTCTTTTTATAACAAGCGAATTCTAAACTATTTGAAATCAAAATTCACTCGATACAAGAACAATACATAACTGACCCTCAACAGTAAACAGATCTCAGACAAGTGGAATCCAACGAACGGTTAAATTATCAACCAAGTGAGACGTAAGTTACGAAAACTGCAACATTTATCATATATTGTAGGTTAATCATTAGCGTAATTCCCAGGGAAGGGTGTGCACTGTGCAGTGACGATATGTGATAAAATCGACAATGATTTGCTCAATAAAGGTCAACACACAGAACCTAATAGCAAATTTCAATAACATTATTTGTCTTTCAAATAGATAAGGTATCTAAAGTATTTCAGTTGATCAAGTTTATCATAATTTACAGATAATCCAAACAACAGTGGAGACAATGTAGTTGAAGCTTGGTGCCATAAAATCCCACTTGGTTGATAAGGCCCTAATACAATTTGGTTGCCCACTTAGTATTTTGTAAAAAAATTCCCAAAACGAAAGTAATATAAACATCAATGAGGCTATGGTATATTTCAAAACAGACTAAGGTTTGAGATATTCCAAATATATCTGTAAATTTTTTTTTACATTCCAATAAACTGAAATTGTTGGTGTATAATATCTCAAATAAAAAGGGGAAACATTTTAGGATTGAACACTCCGATAAAAAGTATTGAAATATCTATATTTACTTCCTGAACACTAAAATTTCTGCTTACCAATTTCTAAAATATTCTCATCACTTACAAGTCTCTGACTGCATATCATAAAGTTTTCCTGCATATCTACACCATATTTAAAGCATATCCAATATTAAACACATCATGTGTGACTAGTATGAAAAATCTTCTTGTGTTACTGTAATTACAATTTCACCCATAAATCGATACCATTATACTCCCTAGATCTAATTGAAATGAATTATATAAAAAGCAGTTTTCCTAATATTACATCTAAATAAGGTGGGTCATTGTCATATATTGAATATGTCACTTGAAATGACATTGTCTTACTTGAGATCTTTTATTTCCTGAAGAGAACTTTATCGAAGCAAGTTTAAAGACACTTATTTGAGTGGCCAAAGTTATGGGAAATGACTAACGAGTTACATCAAGCCTTTTTCCAAAATTAGCCAGGGCAAGATATCAGTCTACACTAATGAGATCAAAACGAAAATATGGAAAAATTGAAAAACATATCTTGCTTTTCTGGTCTTATATATTTGTATCATGAATACAAGAACAGCAATACCTGTCTCAAACATAACTATGTAGTTTATCATGATGCACCAGTAATAATACTATCCTTCTACTGAACTTCTACTGTCGATGTCATAAATATTACCGCTGCATAGACAAGTCAAATTCCAATCACATTTCATTTTTAAATACTGATATGGTTAAATACGAACATTGTAATAGATACAGAATGAAAACTATTCGAAAAAATGGAATATAACAAAAGTATGTTTAGCTTATAATAGCTTTCTGTTAAATAAAAGGAAAAATTATGTCCATAAGCAAACTTTGGGCGTTGTATCATATTTTTACAGCATAGCAAACAAACCATACTAATAAAAGAAATGATTGTAAAAATGAGAACAATAAAAATAGAGAATTATTATAGTAGGGAGCAGTACGTTCATGAGATTACCAACTCACCGACTTGACATATAGAAAATATAGGTGAATAGGATTCAACAAAATAGGATTCAATGCTACTTTCTGGGTAACAAGCAGAATAGAAAGTAATTTGAGCTTTGATGGTGTAGTTTAGGTTATAGATAAAATTTTAGGTGTATATAATTAGAAAAGTGAGATTGGATTCAAATAGCTTTTTCTCACCAGAACATCATGAACATCCCTAATTTATAATTAGCACCATTGCCATTTAAAAAAAAATTTATTAAACAAATTATAAAACAAAATGATTCCAGATTTTTGCAAATGATTAGCATTCTAAGCAGAGAAGGAGGAGCTACAACTGTTTGAAAAAAAACGGAACATTTCCACTTCAGTGTTGCCCAACCAACTTGTACACCCTGGGCGAGGTGGTGGAAATATCGTTTGAATCAGATATTCGCGACAAATTTGACATAAGTCATCATGAATTTGGTTAGATTAAAATAGTCAACATTTATTTACTAAAAACAAGTCCCTACCTCTGTATCAGATGTTTCTACCTCTGTCATTCTATTGTCATCAGCTATATCACCTGTAGCATCTGAAGAGAAAAAATAGAAGTTAGTATGGAGAAAACAGAGTACCCAAGCAGCAAAATTAGAATTTTGAAGATTGGTGGTAGTTTTGCGTCTGATATCTGAGAATTCAATTTGAATATCAGTTATTCTATTCGTACACACATTAATTGGACCTCCAGAAGTATGTGCACCAAGATGGCGCACAACCTAAACATAGTATGTGTTACCATGTTAGGGTTCAGGTTGTGCGCCATCTTGGGGCACATACTTCGGGAGCGCTCATGAATTTTTTTCTGATTTATGTATGTTCTGAGAGCACTTGCTTTATTAAGCAAGGTCACACATGCTCACTCTGAAATAAAAGAAACTTTCCATATTGTAAAATGAAGGTAGTGGCCACTGTGCAAAGAGCAACAAGCTATACATACAAAAATATGTAGAAGAAACATCCATATAAGATGGTTGGATACACACAAGAAAAAAAAGGTAAGGTAAGTAATTTCGCAACACCTTATTTATAAGTATCGAGCTAATAATAAGAAAATATGCATCTCATATGCAATTTTACCATAATCACCACTCATCAATTAGTAGATAAAAATGAATAGAGCTCACTTGATTTAAAATGTACAACCTAAAAAATACTCCACTTCCAATATGAGAAAGAGTTACAAAAGCTTCCACCTATTGTGTTTTTTAAAATAACATATAGCAAAAAACTGCTGTAATAATAAAACTGAAAAAGAAAAAAATATGGAATATGAAATAAGGATTCTAATCAATAATGATCCATATAATAATATTCCAGGATTTTGTTAAGCATTTTTCAGTATATTTGTTTCAGGCTGACATGACAATGACACTTTTTCTATCGATCATGGCAAAGAAAAAAACCTCGCTCTACCTCAAATCATCATCTAAGAACATCATTCTGAAAGAATAATGTCTAACATCATACAATGGTTGATATATTAAACAAAACATTTTCCAGGAAATCAGGGCACTGTACCAAACTAACCATCCATATTTGAATAATTCAATTCCCTGTAATTCCGAGTTAAATGGATCTAATATAATCTAAATAGACATTTTCAGTGGTAAAACTATACCAAATAGTCAGCTAACATAAGAGGAATTTCACAGTAACACTGCTTAATTTTCTGAAGAGTAACACTTCCAAGACAGCTTACACTCAAAATTCCATTTAACCTAGATTATTAGAATATTCCTGTTACTAATTTCTAGACTGCTAAGCAGTATATAAGAACTTGTTGACAAGCATATTAGCTGACGTGGGAAGGTCTACATTGGGCAGTTGTAATAGTAAATGTCTTTATATTGGCTGACCGACTTGTACCAGATGGAATACTACCTACATCAATATTGACACTAAAGAAACAACTGTCGAACAAATATCGCATTTCATTGAAGGAGTGAAATTCATTTTGAACTCAGAATCCTTCCTTTTTTTTCAGTTTATTTGAATTTTTTGCCTAAACATAACTTATCTTTTATCAATTTTGCGTCACCGAATAGGGGTACGTCTTCTGTGCTTTTGCACTCATGGATTCTATGATAGTTGAATTATGCTTGTCTGAAAAAGTCGAACTTTGGTCAAACAAAATGTACTTAAAATATATTCGAGTTGTTATGCCAAAAAACTTTCGAATCACTTGTAGTCGGCTACACTCTTGCATCACCGCATGTACATGGATCCACAGCTGCTAGTAAGGATAACCTTACCCACAGAATTGCAAATGAGTATTTTAAAATTCCTATTCATGACTTACGTTAATTTGAATACCAAATGCTCCTTACAATTTTTTTTGGTTCATTTTGAAAATACAATCTCAAACTGATTAGTGCCCCAATGAATCAGGCTTATGAAAGAGATGAATTGAGTTATCTCTATAACACTGATCAATTCAAAAGAAGCTATTAGTTGACAGAGGTGGATTCCACTAATCTATTGTGAGTCTATATAGTTCCAGAGAATTAACTTTGATAACACTGAAAAAAATCCAACCTCACTAAAAATCAGTAATTTTGAATATATATGTAATGAAATACTGCTTTTTCCTCATTTTATTTTAGATATCAAAATATATTTTCTGAAAATGATTCTCTACTTTTTGAAGCCAAATCTCATTCAATCATAAGTCATATAGAGAAGATGATAGCATACTTTTATATTGCAGTTTGTGAATTTCGGGAACCTTTAAATCACAATGAAATATTGAAACTAGTATAAAATAAGTATACTTTCTGAATTCAAGTGATCTTATATTAGAAATACAAAGTGTTTCAGTTCTATTGTCAACAATTTTTTTTGCTCCAAAAGTGGTTTCTATGAAAAGTACCTATGCTGCGTGACTCCTAGATTGTGTATGACTGTATGGAACTTAGTTTTTAGTGCATGCTTAAGATTTTCCTATAACAAGCATCTGGATATGAAACCATGCCAACTCATTTGAAATATTTATTGAACTATTCATTGCGAAATCACCAGTTTCAAAATTTTTTTTCTGGATATACACAAGAGTTTTTTTTTTGCATCGAACCAAAATTTGAAATTGATGATATTTGAAGTAGACGACATAAAAGACTTCGAAAATGAAAATTTTTGTTGATGTAAAAGTCATTATATATATTCTCAATAATATCTGAGATGAAACAGGAACGAACTGAAAAGTAAAATATTCTGAATCTGATATTATCACTAGGATATTGTTTTTCATCATATCCATCATCGCCATCTAATTTGCCTAGAGTCCTAGACCTTTCCTTTTGAGGCTCATCTAAGAGTCAAACTAAGTGCTATGTTAGTTAAAAACTACCGATATAGCTACATAAGTTTTTGTAGCGAGGCATGCAAATAAGCATCATAATATTATGAGCAACATCACACAAATATGGTATGACAGCATGTCACACGAATGGCTAGACCACTGTAATTTCGCAGTATCACAGCGCTTCATTCATTTTACTATGAGTTAGCTCTCAGAAGTAAAACCCAGCGAGCTAACACAGGAAGTAGTGAGGATTGCTTGTTCATTCTACGTTTCTTAGTCAACGCAGGAAGTATCAAATAGTGTGTTGCTCATTCACAACACGGATATAGGGTGTGATATTTTACTTATATGGAAATATCGTGGGTGAGCATATTTTATCAAAACACATAAAAAAAGGTCATGTTTCGAATTAAAATGAATAAAAACAAGTGCCTAATATTAGGCATTTCCAAATAATTTCACATTTTATTAGGAGTGGGCCAACCATAACTATAATAGTTGGATAAGATATACAGAATGTTTATAGTCTCAAAAATATTTTAAATTGAAAATGCTATTTATCGTTACTTTATAGTTTTTTGGCCCCCTTAATTAAGTGTACTTAATAAAAGAAGTAAAAAAACTTACTTACATAAACACTGATTATGACAAAACGAAAAAAAAAAATGGCAAAAATAAATTGAGAATTGACTTCATAACCAAATTTCAACAGGACTCTGTTCACTCTGATAACACCCAGACCTAGTATTATAATTTTTAATTTACGACAATAATCTTATATATGAATATTAGTATATGTCAGAAATATACCATTAATCCACATTATGAGGTATATGTATTATTTTGCTGTTTCTGTTTTATTTGAAAAATAAAGACGGGTCATCAAAGGGTGATGGCCTGAATAGCCCATTTTAATTGACCATACCGCTGTTATGATAGCCTATAGATGCACCATGACTGCTTATGATTTTGTTAACATAACATTATCTTGACACTGTGTTTGGAGTCAAAGGTGTGAAATCATATGAGACTGATACCGGGAAGTAATTCTTAGAAGAATGTAGCGGACATTTTCAGATATGATTGAATAATATATTATGACAATGGGCTGTTCCATTTATCTCATTTTCGAGAGATCTGAAATTTTCACTTCCACAGTTTTGAATTTCCCAAAGTCAATCATGAGTCAGAAGTTTTGAACTTCATGCAGTCCGAAATCTGAATTTTATACTTTCAAAAGAAATACTCACTAGTATTGAGTTTAAAGAATGCTCAGAGACCAACACTAAAAAAATGATAATTTGCAAGAATGTAACTCCAGAGCACTGCTTTGGGAGTGTGAAGACAGATTTTTCGAAATAAAATTCGCAAGAGTAAAAGATTTGAAATTCTAAAATCATGAGTTTGTTTATTGAATAGCTCAATTGGAACTTTACTCAGAATCTACCATCTTGTTTCACATTACCAAAATGTTACATATTGGATTAGTGTCTAATAGAATGTATGTTAGTTATTATGTTGATATCACATGTTTCAGATCTCAAGCTCAAGTCCTTTTAATTCAAGCTTTTAAAAAAAGTACCTCGACCAGGTATAAAATCAGATTTGATTTCAAATAAATCGCAAAATTTACTTCAAAGTATTTCTTTATACAGACATAATTGAAAAAAAATAACTAAACATACCTGGAATTCTCATATTATGTTCATTTATTAGCTGAATAGGGATATCCTGTGCCTGCCTTGAACTTTCAGCCTGTATCTAAAAAAATGGAATTTGTAAACTGTTAAATAAATTGTGAGACAAAATTTCTAAAATAAAAACTAATGATAATGAATGTCTGGATGTCCATGTATGATTCTTAATTGGTAACAAAATCTTTTTGAGCGAGTTACTATGGGACTTCAAAAAATAGTGATCAAAACTGGAAAGACAAAAATACAGTCTGGTGATATAGCGCCATCTTGAGGATGTTGGATTTTCTAGCAGTTGAATAAAACATGCTGCATGCATAGAAAATGCAATGGTATATAGAGACAAACGTAGAATGTCACAAAAATCACTTTCACAGATTCAATAGGAAATTGATACTAATCACAGCTAACCGAATAACGCATTATGAAGTTCAATTTATCTCACAAAAAAAAAAAATTAAAGTAATATATCATGCAGTAGAGGTATAGTTATACCAAATGAAAATCTTTTATCCGCTATGTCGTTTCTAAAGAGAAAGAAAATACCAAGGAACTTGGGAGAAATGAAACAATATGATTAATCTTAAGTTCATAATACTAACTCCGTTTCAAAATACAACCAGAAAGAACCATTAGGAAAACCTATACATCTAACTCAGTGGTTCTCAACCTTTTACCGACCGCATACCACTTTACTGTTTTTTCACTATGGCCGCGTACCACCGACAAAGCTCCTTTTCTGGCGTAGAGAAAAAGACACAAGAAACGTGCTATGGAAGTATTTTATAATGTGGCACACACATTTTTTGTGGCGTAACACGCAAAACGGACAAAAACAATATGCCCATATCGCTTCATTTAAGGTGGGCAATAGCGGGCGATGGCGATCTCTAAAAACAAGAACTGATAGCGCACCAGAGCTGTGGACGTTTCCACGACCATTGACCCCGGAAAAATTACCCCTATACTTTACTATTCCAAATTTCATGCTTATTTTGAGAGTGTTCTGATTGTAGCCCGGAAAAATTACCCCTATACTTTACTATTCCAAATTTCATGCTTATTTTGAGAGTGTTTTGATTGTAGGCTCATAGAAACTGGTTTACGTGCCTTACATCATCATTTTTACTAAAATGAATCAACCATGTGCCGTTTGCGGATACTGATATAACTAAGTTTAGCCTTGTCCATCGCAGCATTTGCGAGATTCAATTTTGACTACTGCAACTAAAGTAAAGCTCCGCGGAAGACATAATGATAATTAAGTTAATTAATGCACAATTATTTTTTGAAACACAACTGAAAACTGACGAATATCACTCAAAACTACAAAAACCAGCCAATGTTTGCAACCATGCTTGAATATCTGTTTGAGCGACAAAAGTGTCAGAGCGGCAGAAATTGCAATTGTTACGTGTTGCGTCATTATTGACTCCTTGGTTATAGTTACAAGGAAACTGATGCTTGGGGAAACATCCATAAACGCTATTTAGCGAATACATACAGTAAGGAAGAAAAAGCATTGCTGGAATATTTTAGCCAACTGAAAGGTTAATTGTTGCAATAATTCAAATCTGCTCGCGTACCACTTGAAAAGCTCCCGCGTACCATCAGTGGTACGTGTACCACAGGTTGGGAACCACTGAACTAACTGTATATGTCTATTTGTATAAATGGTGCAAATCATCACTGCTTCTGTAAAAGACTATTAGGCTGGTGTATGGAGAACAGGTTTGAATTTCAGGTTACAAACGTAAAATGTACTGTCAATCAGGAATACAGCTCTATATTTGCAGAGGTATAACGCTTTTGTTTGGGTAAATTGATTCTGTAAACCAAGTTTCATGATACATATTGAATTGTGGTTTTATATTTCCAGAATCCGAAGGTGAAAAAAACTTTTTATTCTGAAAAAAGTGACAACCTTCCACAACTGTTTTTCTAAATCTTGTAATAATTTTTGAGCAGTTCCGAGATCTTCTATCAATTTCTTGTTTGGATCTTTTGCATATTCTTCTTTAATACGCTGAGAAAAAAAGAAAATAAAAAACTGTCCAACAAAACCAGGCAAACAAAAAAATATTGTAAAACATGCTATGAAACGAGCAAGTAAAAAATGGATTTACAAAAATAAAAGTAAGAAACAAGCAAAAATGATAAACAAATTAAAAATGATGAATTCATGGTAAAAACAGATCAATTTTTCATCGCATGCCTTTTTGTAATCTTGAATACTTTCAAATTTATTCCGGGGATGAGGAAAATCGATAAGACATCGTAATCATTTGACGAACCCCTCCCTCATCTAGTTGGCATTCAATTTGGGTTCGGGAATAGTTAACCAGTTATTTGTTTCAAATTTATGGCCTTTGGAAGACCTAACTGTCAGTATTTGGGCTTTTGAAACTATAATCATCAGCCACTCAACTTCCAGAATACTTCTGCTATTCTTACAGCCACTAACAATAAAGTTTGTCAAACAATGTTGGAATCTAAGTTCAGAAACTCAGGTTTGGGATCGTTATTAAGCCGATAAACACAGTCTTACCCTGAATGCAAGAAAACTCCATTGCTATTGCAAAAGATTCTATTTATTCTGATCATATCTGACTTACATTCAAATGAAACCTTATTTATAGAACTAATAAGATTTGTTAACATAAATTTGCCGTGTACGAAGAACAGTCAGAAACTCATATTATTTCCCTCACCCGATCATGAATTTGTACAAAAATAAAGCAAAATAACTTGGAAAATGCATTGTATTAGAACATGTTTATGAAATTGAACCTAAGATTTAATAATGATGGTACAAGATCAATTGATTACAAAGAATCCTGACTTTATCTTTTCAATAAATTAACAAAATAAAAATATTCAAACCTCAACTTCTAACTTTTCTTGTTCAACCATTTTCTTTATAGTCTTCACTTTCTCATCATGAAAGGAAGTATCTTTGACCTAAAAAATAAAATATACTTTTCATTTGAATGCAACATCGATGTTAGCTGCAGCAATGTGATAGAATGAAAATGAGTGAGGATAATGAAATAAAAATTATAGCCAAATTATATAGAAAATCCACAATTTTGATATAACTTCTCAATGCCAACAAATCTTAGGCTGAAGTGATTAGTCCTTCGATGAAACTGGGTAGGATAACAGTGAGGATAACAAAGATAAAAATTACAGCCAAATTATAATAGAAAATCCACAACTTTTATGACATTTGATATTACTTCTCAATGCGACCAAATCTTAAGCCAAAGTCACAGGCCCTCAGAAAAAACTGGGTTGGCTATCGGTTGGAATATTGAAGACGAAAATGAGAGCCAAATCATATAGAAATACTCCAACATTGATGTTTGATATGACTTCTCTGCAACATTTCCAGCCCACATATGGAAAATATAATTGCTATTATTTTCGGATTTGGTTATATCGAGTTTCGATTCAAATAAATTTCTAGATATCACTTGTTCATACAAGGTGAAAGATGAAAAACTAACTTATATACTTCAGATGTTACATGAGGTAACTTTTAGTATTTGTTTTAATCAAGTGCTTGTGACCATGCTCACATAACAGAAAGCTATAACCGTCTCATACCGCGCTAAGATAAACAAATTTATTTGCTATCTTATGAAACACAATTACACCCCCGGTGTGTGATATGATTAAATATTAATTGATAAGTTGATAGATCTAGATAAAAATACCCTGATGTTATGTTGAATTACGATAAACTTTTCAACAGTGCTGATGGGACAGGTGGGCAAAAATATAAAGTGGAAACACATGAATTCATAAATTGAAAATCTGGGAAGAAGATCTATTTTGCCAATCTGACAAAAATACAAAGACCAAGCACTATAAAGACAAATTTTTGCTGAAAAGTTCACTCTCAAATCTATATTAAAGCTGCCAACTGCTCGACCAGTCTGTATATGTGTTTCATGATACGAAATTACTTAAACTGTTTTCGCTAAATTTTGAAGTTTTATTTTTTCAATCATTTACCAATATGTTACAGGACGTAAAATTTGGAAGTTTACTAATGCTTTTCAAAATGGTACATGACCATTTGTATGTTAATATAAGAACATAAGGACAAAATTTTGTCAGAATTTGTTGTATGCTATGGTCATAGACAATATTCTGTGATTTGACAAGGTCTAGTTTGAAACAAAATACATAATTTGAGGTCGAGGTTGAAATAACTATAATATCAATTTCAGGATTTTAAATATAATATATCGAAAAATCTTTCTCACCACCATAGACTGTGGTCTGCTGCTTGGCTGTCCAGAACTGCTCACTAAATCTGGAGAGGTCACAGAGTCTGTTTGTGGTAGAGATGGGCCAAGCAGAGTGAGTGCTACATACTGACCCGCTGAAAAACAAATATTAATAATTATTTCAATATGCAGGTTGATAGTTTACTACATTGTAAAAATGTGAAAAACCAGTGGCCATGTAAGTGTGACGCATAAAGTTACATTTTATGAACAATATTTGCAGTGGTACAAGAAAAACGGAAAACAATAGGCCTCATGCCAAAACTAAATTTAATCACAATCTCAACAAAATCCTTGAGCTATTTTTTAGCTAAAACATCATAATTTGATTTTAGTTTGGTCGTGGCAGCATCAGGCGGGCCAGATTGAATTATCCATCGGGCCGGGTTTAGCCTGCGGGCCATAGTTTGCCCATGTCAGTTCCACAACATCGATAAGTATCAAAAATTTGAATTTTTAAATTTGATATTAATACCTATTTTTTAGTTTAATTCTAGGGATACCAAAATAAACATTCTTGATAAAGCAATGATTTTTGTTTTGACTAGATAGATACTTGTATTTCATTGCAATCTACAGTGATACCTCGATATTCAAACGACTTGTTTCGGCAGTCGACTAAAAAAATTCTAGTCAAAAATGATGCGGTACTCAACAGAAAAAATTGGGGGGTCGAACATCCGAGGGTGTCACCCAAACCGAGCTTCTCGGCTGCATCTTCACCATTCAACAAGAGAGCGGTGCTTAATACATGGACATGAAAACCAAAACGAAGTAGTACGTGTGTGCAATCTGTCACAGTTGACTATCGGTACAACAATATTCATGACTAACACAAATACGGAACTGCCACAAGGTGTACAAGTTTTTATGGCGTCATCGCACACAAAAATTTGCTCAAAGGTACAGTAACTGATACAAAAAATTTTATATTTTTGTCTTAGTTATAATATTCATAATCAATTATTTAGGTACACGCTTTGTTAATATTTTGGGTAGTTTCGAATGCGTAAGACCAAAATAAAATAATTACAATTCTTTCTTCTTGAACAAATTATGTTTGACTACCGAGATATCACTGTATTTCATGAAGCATGCTTCAAAACTAATCATATGCGAATGACAACTTTTCAAACGCCAACAAGTAGGGTAATATGGATAGATATCTGATAAGTAGGATAATTCCCCAATGGTAATGTCAGTGGTAAAACTTGCAATATGAAGAAGAGCAGGTTACGTCTTCACAGTTTAATAAATTAATCACCAGTATTGCAGAAGTGTATAATATCAGCTTTCAGATTGCATACCATATTTCATGCTATTCTTTCAAGTAGTATTTGGTTGTATTGAAGTTGGGTAATCTCGGTGAAAGTATAAAACTCAATCAAATTGAATGACTTTTTATACAATATCTTGAATGTAATATCAAGAAAGTTCCAAACTCATTGTATATTTGAATCCATTTTGAATAAATTTTTTGACATTTCAAATTCTTTGTTAGGAATAATTTAGGTTAGTTTCGTGAAGAAAAATAATCAATTTAAGCAATTGGAATTTATCAGTATATCGGTAACTGAAAAAGTTCCATTTCTAAAAAAGGCGAAAATATAAATTTCAACTTTCCTGTATTTCCAAATTCAAACTTGTTGAGCATGAATCAATTTAAAAAAATATTGAATATTCCACATTCAAAAATATAATTTTAGAATGTATTCGTAATAGCAGACATACTAAAATTCTGTTTTAGTGGTTTGTCTGATTTGATACCAAAGTTATGATGCAAAGTGCTAATTTTATATAAAGAAGTAAACATCACTCATAGCCATAAACCATAATCCAACTTACATTTAATAAGTTTCACGACCTCAATGTGATTAGAGTCTGTGACATTTGTTCCATTCACCTATAACAAAATAATATCATGAAACAGGATCAAATTTAATAATACGAAAAGGTAATACCTATTTATATGTAATTATGTCTAGCGTATCAGTCACATTGTGTTCTTTTAGCTTGATAACATGGCAATGAATAGAAACTTTAAGAGTGTCTTATATCTATTTTCTGGTTTGGCTGTAGACATTTACAATTTACAAAAATTGTGATTTTTCTAAAACTTCGGAATGGAACATAAGCTTTTATGTTTCTACTGCAGTGATATACGAAAAATTCATCTTTTTTAGAAACATTTTGGATAGTCCCAGTTGTAAAGCATGAATTTGAGAGAAAAAATTTGCATCCATACACAGGCCACAGGCCAAAAATATTCACTCAAATTATTAATATATAAAAACACTAATCCGGCTAAAGCTTTTCAATGTCAAGTTAATGGTATGTATGGTATAGTAAATATCTGTTTTTCAAATTATGGGTAAATTCAGAATATACAATAATATCATTATTCAATATTAAAAAAACATTGCCGGTACCCTGCAATATATTACATCATACAGTTTACAGAGATTTTCCTAATAGAAGGTCACATTTACAAATCCCTGGACAGTGATTGCAATAACCAAACATTATGCATCTGTCAATGGAACTTTAGACACGAACAATTTCATTGTGTAAAGTGTGTGTAGAGAATAGATTTTGAATTCAATCTCTCTATTTTTTGAAGCAAGGGAGGAACCGAACTGTGTAAAAGAGTAAAAGGCTGAGTACAATACTAAAAAATTTGTTCTCATGAAATTGATCTATATGTAGTTAGTCTATGGACATTAATATAACATTACGCCAAATTGATGAGATAACCATAACCAAAACTGGATATATAATTCTTTATACCACAATTTTTTTATTAAATTTGGGTTAACCTACATATTCTCTTTTTCTTGTCGAAATCATTTATTATTAAAATTTGGTGTACAGAAATTGAATTGAATGAGTAAATAATATTTCAAATATTATTTAAATATTATAGCAGAAAATTTAAATATCAGTAATTTAAAATTATAGCAAAAAATAATATACCTTAACTATACGATCGCCTTGTCTAACACCAGCTGTATGTGCTGCTCCATCTGTATAAAACAGGAGTGTTCATTTCAGAAAATGGATGAAAGTTGAATAGAAACGATGAAAACAACTTAATAACATTGAAAGGCGTGATTACACATATCATATATAATATCGGTTCCATTACATTTGAACCCACGTACATTTGAACCCATGACAATTGCACCTGTATGCTATTGCACCTATGGAATTTTTTTTGTTTCACGGATAGTTAAACCCATACTAACCCTAACCCATGGGTTTTAGCACCCGCATATAGATTGAACCCGTGGATATACGCATGGGTTCAAATGTACATGGGTTCAAATGTACGGTCACCATAATATCAAGCACAATGACTACCGGTATGTATAGTCATGTCTAGGGAATTGAAACACAGGAATAGCACAATATATAGCAGAAATAAAATATTAGATTCCAATTCAAATTTATGAGCCCATTCCTAAAAACATAATAAAATGTAATAATGAAAAATTTACATATCTTACAGTACCAAGTGGAAAGTATCTAGATCGCTGAGAGTGAAATTTAATTAAAATGTAATAGTTTAATTTTGTTATTCGTTGAATGTTCATAACAATTGCTGTATTGCCCTTCATTTGTGTCTGTTGTTGAAAAATAAATGAACATATTTTGGTTACTTACTTTCTTTGACAGACTGAACGAAGACTGGATTGTCACCACTCACTGTTAAACCGTATCCTTTATCATCTCTGTGAATTACAACCGCTTTGAGGACCATTAATGGTTTACCTGTTAAATACATATAAAGTTGAATATACCAACATAACATTTTAGGAATTCACTTTGGCTATTTTCTTTGGAATGCAGAGAAGACTCCTCAAGAGTTTTCACATTATACAAAATCAAACTGGTCATAACATAAAGCAAACTAAATTCTATGGAAAGTACCAATTCAAATTTGGTAAAACCGTGACAGTAAATATTAACAACACAATACATTGTTTATAACTAATCAAATGATCAGCATAGTCATACATGTTAAAAAATGACTGCCATCTGCGTCAGCTACCGATAAATATTATTTTATATGATTCGAAGAGTCACCAATTCTTGAAAAATCTCCCCAATTCGATGTAGCACAGACACCTACAAATGCTTCATTTTCAACTACAATTTACCTAATTGCAATTACTATGGTTCTTTCTAGTCAAATGCTATCTTCCATCCCTCAAATATAATTTTCACATAGATTCTAACATAATATGCGAAGATACTCACCAAGAGACTCAGTTGAGGCAGATTGTTCCTTATCAGTAGTTGATATAGGTCCACCAATATCTGCTTTTGACAATCTGTTCAAAAATAATAAATTTCTGAGGAAGTTCTTTTTTGTACTCAAGTGAGTTCATCAATAGTAGGCTACTATATAAAAAAAGTGATTTATTTCATGGTGTTTTGGCCGTAATAAATTATTCACTTATTAAACTATTCTGAATTACAGGCAAATTCCATTCTCTATTTTAATTTTCTGGAATTGGTGAAGCATCCACCCTGTCCTGATATAAACCCTGTGCAAAGAGGTCATTATTCATTTGTGATTGACGAAGTAAAATGGAGCATACCCAATCTTTGTGATTTTGCGCACAAAAGTTGAGTTCACTATACAAATAGAGATTTCTCGTTCTGGTTATGATATGAAAAAATTTATAAGACAAACCTGTGATCCTTATAGTGATGGTCCCGAGTTTTGTCCCTTTTACTCCCAAGCCTAAATATTGATAATAATTATTAAATACTGGATATTCAATGTTAAAATAGCAAAGTAAAAACGACTTACTATACTTCAGTTTGCTCAGAATATACATATCAAAATAAAAACTGAGATCATTTCATAAAATATCCAAACAAAATCCAACATAGTAATTTAAATATATAAGTTTTGAATATATTGGTGTGTGATAATTTACTGGTCTAAGATATAGCATAGTTTATCGTGAACTGGTAGCATATTATTTTATGATACGGTATTTTCATAGGATCAGCTTATAAAAACATAGGTTGAACTTGAAGATGAGAAAAGGAAAAACTAGCCGCATTATTTCTTTTTTGAAGTATCATATCCAAATGATTTCCTCAATTCTGATTTAAAATGGTCTGATTAAAAAAACATACGTCAGCAAAATATAATCACAGAATGCCTCTGAATTTATTGTTACCGTAATTATTATCACCTTTGTCTTATGATATTATTAATAAAGAACATAATTTTAATACTGTGAGATCATCATATCTTCACATTTAATAAACTATCCGGGTTACACTGGTAACGCTGGGCATATTTAGATGAGCATTCAATAGAGTAGAATGAAGTATGGTTAGACACTAAAAACACTTCAAGCGAACAAACTTTTGATGTAAATATTGAAAAAGGATTCTGAGACATTTTCAATCATAATTAGAAAAGTGTTTTTACCAGCTGAACAGGCCCAAAGAACCATGACAAGATATTATTATTAATGTACGAATGAATATATTTGCTTAAATATCCATCTGTGCATAGGTTGACACAAAATTGGTTTCGATAATGTAGAAGCTGCTTATGGTGACTGCATGTAATAATAAACATGATTACATGTGCTCATACAATACTCCTATCATGTTAACAAACACGTGCCTGAAACTAGTAACCTGACGATAACCCCATATTATATTTATGCTGCAGAAAAACAAGCCTGCACCAAAAGGTTACCTCTCAGCTAGACTTGATACAGTTGATTGAGTGTCCATGGTGTTGGCAACATCGATGATTGCAAATTACTTCGGATGATATTGTTTTGTTGAATCAACAAAGTTTTCAATTAAAATTCCATCAGACGAATATTGTTTGGTCAGTGAGGAGAAAATGACTTTTATACAGCAAATATGATATCCATCACTGATACACCTAAATACAACCTAATAAGGAGTAAAATAAAGAAATATTAATATAGGCATGATATTAACTCTTTGATCTATATACAGGTGAGTATAAAAGGTACTCTCGAAGTATGTGGACCAAAATGGCGGACACCGGAACGTAGTATGTGTACCAGGTTTGGGTAGGGCCATAATTTCAGGTACAAATAGTAAGAGAGTCACTTGGCTAGTCCCCGAACTCGTAATAGAACTAAAATGAGGAAAATTGGGATAAAATTATGGCCTAACCCTAACATGGTACACATACACAGGTGTCTGCCATCTTGGTTCACATACTAAAGGAGCATCGTATAAGATAACAATTCTGAATGATATTACTATTTTAATGCCAGAGATCATAATGAGACTTGACAAAGACTTTCTTACAGCATATTTAAAATTCAGGAAATCAAAATATGTGATATATTAGTAAAAATAGTATCTGTTGATAGACATCATCTATTGTCTTTTCACTTAAATACTATTCCATACCAAAACCATATACTACTTAATAACAAATATTGCCCTTCCCTGACTTTATGATCTCTGCTTATCTACTTCATGACACAATCTTATAACCACCATATACATGCCATACTCATATAACATAGCTTCTATCTGTCTGTGCAAGGAAGCTTGCATTACTTTCAACTATACAAAGTTGTAAGGTAAATATGGGGTGACGGAACAAAAATGGTGTAACTTTATTTAATTTTGTTTACACTTGAACTTCTGTTTGCATATGATTGTACCCCAAAATAGCAATCTGGTCATAGCATCTTGCTGACTGGCAAGAATGGCCTTCACTTGCACCAAATCGTTTTTAGAAAACTAATTATATCATAGACACTATACTTTTGATTTAATTATGTAACCAGGATAACTTGCTTGACACAATGCAAACAGAATTTATTTTTTAAAATACCGAACAAGTAGACTTGTATGTGTGAATATACACTCTTTTGGAACATTTAACTCAATGAAAAAATGTCATTAAAAACTACATATTTTCCATTTTTATTTTGCCTATTATTCTATGTCATAATGACAGTTTGCAAAAAAACTGCTACAGCTGCACAATTAAAATTTTCAGACAAAACTTGATTGGCAACAATTTCCACAAATTTATCCTGAATCTTCAACTATACAGTCCACTCAAAAAAAATGATACAATAACTTCCATAAATTCATGTTATAGTAAGACCAAATCATTGCAACCTGGTAGATGCTTATAATAGATTTCAACGAGGAGCAGTAGTACAGAAAACACAGTTTTCTAAAAAACTTTAGAATTAGAAGTAGAGAATTGTCATAGTGATTTTTACAATAATTTTACAATTATTACAACACAACAATTATTCCGTGGAGGGTATAGTTTTCAGACATTTAATTTTGACTCAGTTTACGAGAAAATGACGAGCAAATTTGAAATCAATCGGCCCATTTTTTTGCTTCTTCCATGGAAATGAAACATCAATCCAGACTTTGGGTCAAACGCATAATATAAAGGGTGACACTGATAACCCACATGAAAAATTTCATTCAGATCTGTTCAGTCGTTTAGAGTTTAGACGATGCCGCTAGATAAACAGAACAACTGAAAATAAGGTCCTCTTAGAGTAGATCCAATAATGCCATCATACTAACAAATCTAAGAAAGAACTATCTGCAAATTTTCAAGCTAAATTTAAAACAATCCTATTCACTACATATTTCAGGTGAGTTGAGCATTGGAATAAATCTTCCATATTCAGTCAAGAAAGCTGAGAGCACAGCCCAAGAAAAAATTAGGATAAGTTTCTTATATTTTTTTTGAGTGTTTAGTTCACACAGAAAGTCCATATAATACAAAGACTAGGCATGCTGTGGGGGTAGTGTATACAATAAATTAAAATACAAACATTATACAAACATTATCACTTGAACTGTCCAAGCAAATATGTTTCATTGAATATCAAGTAAAGAGTATGAATCAGCAGTAGAACAGACTAGTCGATGGTTATACTGCTGTTTATTTATGTTACAGTTCATATAGAGCTCAATGGCATGTCTAATTTAGAATATTAGGTTTAGAAACACAGACCAACAAATTGATGGTTTGTCTCCACTTATGTGGGAGCAAAAAATAAAGGTACTGGCACTTTTGCGTTTGCACAAGATGATTATGTCAGTTCTGATCCTAACACTGGTGAAGTCTAAAGCGAAGTTGACCAGTCCAACAGAACAGTATACTGTTTCAGTAATTTAATCGGACTTGTCCGTTGATACTGCGTAATCATTCATAAGTTGACACGTACAGTGGATTAAAACAATTTTGGGTCAAACGCATAATATAAAGAGTGACACTGACAAGATAACCCACGTGAAAAATTTCATCCAGATTTGTTCAGTCGTTTAGAGTTTAAACGATGCCGCTAGATAAATAGATATACAGAACGACTGAAAATAAGGCCCCTTTAGAGTAGAGATCCAATGATGCCATCATACTAACAAATCTAAGAAAGAACTATCTGCAAATTTTCAAGCTAAATTTAAACCAATCCTATTCACTACATATTTCAGGTGAGTTGAGCATTGGAATAAATCTTTCATATTCAGTCAAGAAAGCTGAGAGCATGGCTCAAGAAAAAATTAGGATAAGTTTCTTATGTTTTTTTGAGTGTTTAGTAATACCAAGACTAGGCATGCTGTGGGGGTAGAGTATACAATAAATTAAAATACAAACATTATCACTTGAACTGTTCAAGCAAATATGTTCCATTGAATATCAAGTAAAGACTATGAATAAGCAGTAGAACAGACTAGTCGATGGTTATTACTGCTGTTTATTTATGTTACAGTTCATATAGAGCCTAGTGGCATGTCTAATTTAGAATATTAGGTTTAGAAACACGGACCAACAAATTGACGGTTTGTCTCCACTTATGTGGGAGCAAAAAATAAAGGTACTGGCACTTTTGCGTTTGCAAGATGATTATGTCAGTTCTGTTCCTAACACTGGTGGAGTCTAAAGCGAAGTTGACCAGTCCAACAGAACAGTATACTGTTTCAGTAATTTAATCGGATTTGTCCGTTGATACCGTGTAATCATTCATATGTTGGCAGGTACAGTGGATTAAAACAATTCTCGGAGTATTTTGCCAAAATCACTACCGAATTGTCAAAAACACTAGCTGCCTTATTAAGATGAAAACAATTGCATATTGCGAATATGACAGAATCCAAAGTACAACTTGTTCAAGACACATTTTATATTCATGCTTCAACAATTGTTATTATTTGTTGAAAATGAGCAATATTTTTGTGAATAGTTGTCAGGTGTGCCAGGTAAGATCCAAGACACTCACACTTACTGTCGTATGAGACGATACCTGAATTTGCAAATGTAATCAAATTTAGTTCAGGATTAAATGAGGGAGTGACGGCTAAAAAATAAGGGGAAGATTTTGAAATTTAGAGTAGGGGTGGAGGGGAATCACCGACCGTTTCTAAATTCATTATTTGCCGCTCAAAAATTCGTCTGTTCAATTTAAACGCTTGATAGCAAACATACTTTTATTTCTTACGACAAAAAAAGTAATTTATCAGGTTTTGCCTACAAATCTGGTACAGTATAGTATTCCTCCTTTTTAGAACATAAAACAGTAGCTGCATGAATACCGGTACTGGTTAAAAACAATTTTCTCTGGAAGTTGTCAAAATCGCTCAAAATCTCTTGCGATTGACCACTCCAGATGCGGTGATCAACCGGTCGATCGCGATCGATGTGTTGACCACTCCTGATGTAAATGACTGAATTATCAAAGCTCCGGCTTCAAACCAGGTGAAACCGTAGGACATAGGGGCACATTTCCAAGTCTTTAAGGGATAATTTTTCCAAACATCACTTAGAAATTTGTCATATCTCTGTAATTATAGTCTATGAAGTGCAATTAAGAAGAAGAAATGTTCCAGTATTCGGCATCTCAACAATAAGCAGACATACTATCAGACTATTGAGCAGACAAGCAATAGACATATAGACTAGATGTTGGGCTTGCAAGTAACATAGCCTAAGTCTGTAAGTGCTTTAAACTTGTAAAAAGACATCTGTTAGTTTACCAGTCTGCCTGTAGGCTCAATAAAACAAGTTGAATTAGACTAGATATAACTTCAGAACTTTTAGGTACCGGTACACCATTTGTAGCAAAATAAAATCCAAATCAAAAACAGTTATCAGTACCGGTATCCAATGCACTATAGTTCTTTCAAGATAATAAATTAAAGCTTACAGACTTAGGCTACATCCAGACAACTGAAATTGTGCAGTAGAGCACAGCAGTACCGGTACCGTACTTGAGTACGGTACCGGTAGCCGTGCCCGTACAGTCTACCGTATCTGATAAAACTACCATATCCTAATACAGCATAATTACGGTTAAGTTTTATAATATATAATGAAGTAAAATTCAGCAGGTACCTTATACCTATATCACATCACGTTTCTGCCTTTAAAATTCAGAAACAGAAAACGTTTTGTCTTGGCTTTCACAGCCAGTACTGTCGTTCCTTGTCCCCGACAGCGCTCTAGCAGCATGACGTCATTCGCACCATGAGCGATCTTGAACTGCTACCACTTTCGTCACACGATAGCAACACCACAAGTCCACAACCTACACTAGGACCTTTCCCCGAGCATCGACTTCCTTGTTTACTTCGGGACATTGGCCAATCAGCAAGTTGCAAAAAGTGACGTAACAATGCTACCTTTTCGCATCCGCTCAGACACTTTTCTCACTCAGACAGATTTTCAAGCGTGGTCGCAAACATTACCTCGTTTTAGGATAGGATTTACATATTTATCCCGGGGGAGAGGAAAGCCGATAAGACGGCTTATCCATATGGCGAACCACGGCCTCTCGTCCGGTTACCATTCCAAGTCGGGTATGGGATTAGTTTTTACTGTATTGTTTGTTTTCGGAAGCATGGACTTGGTGGTGGAGGAAGCCGTAACCGACCAG